GGAGGAGGAGGAGGGGGAGGAGGAGGAGGAGAAGGAGGCGGCGGGGGAAGAAGAGGACGGGGGGGCGAGGAGCAGCTGAGCCTGCAGCGAGCCGAGCGTCCGTTACGCGTGCCGCCGTGTCCGGGGTTGCGCGCCGCTCGCTCGCGCAGTCTAGGGCAGCGGCTTGGCAGCGGGAAGGCCGCGTGCCCGGCTCGGAAGGAGGGGAAAGGGGGGGGGGGAGGGGGCAGCGGGCAGGCGCAGGGACGAGCACGGGCGGAGGGAGAGCGCTTTTGCGCAGGAGGGGGAAGGGCGGGGAAGGGGAGGAGGAGGAGGAGGAGGAGGAGGAGGAGGAGGAGGAGGAGGAGGAGGAGGACGACGAGCGGCTGTGGGAGTCTGACCCTCGGAGGCTCCTGGCGGTCCAGAGGTTGGCGTTGGGTCTTGACGTGTGCAGCTCGCTCCGTGGGAGTCCAGGAGTCGCTCGGAGCACTTTGCAGATACATGCGCGTGCCTCCCGAAACCCAGCTGATCCAGCAGGCTGAGCCCGAGGCGTGATGACCTACGAACCCATTCCGGGCTACGTCCGAGGAAGAGCGGAGAGGGAGGAGGAGGAGGAGGAGGAGGAGGAGGAGGAGGAGGAGGAGGAGGAAGATGAGGAGGAGGAGGAGCAGGAGGAGGAGGAGGGGTCGGGATGGGAATGTGAGATGGGGCATCGGGAGGGTCTGGCATTGACGGGAGCAGGCGGGACGAGTCGAGAGACACAGCGTTTTCGTGCAGTGACCCCCGATGTTGCCCGTCACCCGAGTCCGGCACCCTGCTGTTCCACGACGGCCAGGCCTCCGCCAGGATCAAGCTGGAGATCCTGCCGAAGGGCCGCTGCGGGGTGACCGAAGACTTCCAGCTGGTCCTCGAAGACGCATCCGGTGGGGCGCGCTTCGACGCCGACACCGCGGGGGGTGCAGAAGCTTGCGTGTGCCGCGTGAGCATATCCGCCTCCGAAGAGCAGCACAGGCAGCTGGACAGCATCTGTGGCCACCTCAGCGAGGACTGGGGCAAGGTGTCCGCTGGGGCACAGAACTGGTCGCAGCAGTTCTGCGAGGCGGCCTTTCCGATGGGCGGCAGGGACGGGCTCGTCGAGGCAAGCCCCCTCGACCTGCTGCTGCACGCCGTCGCGCTGCCCTGGAAGCTGCTGCTCTCGTGCGTGCCGCCAGCCGGGCTCTGCGGCGGCTGGCCGCGCCTCCTGTGCGCCCTGCTGGTGGCCGCAGTCCTCGCCGCCGCCGTGGGCGACCTGACCAGGCTGCTCGGCTGCACGCTGGGCGTGGAGCCCAAGTTCCTCGCGGCCTCGGTCGTGGCGATCGGCACGTCCCTCCCGGATGCGCTGGCCTCGGGGCTCGCCACGGTCCACTGTGCGCACGCCGACGCGGCGCTGGGCTCCGTCGTGGGCGGTGCCGCGGTCCTGGGGCTGGTCGGCCTGGGCGTCCCCTGGACCATCGGCTCCTTCCACTGGCTGCTCGTCGGGGCCGACCCCCTGGACCTCAGCGACCCGTGGGTGCGCGAGGGGAAGCTGCGGGGCTGGTGGCACGACTACCCCCACATCAAGCGCAGCAGCCCCGGGGGCTTCGTCGTCACGTCGGGGGACTTCGGCCTGAGCGTGGCCGTGCTGACCTGCTGTGCACTGCTGAGCCTGGCCACCCTGGCGGTGCGGCGCCTCTGCGTCGGCGCCGAGCTCGGCGGGCCGGTGGTGGAGAGGTGGGCGACGGCGCCCTACCTGCTCCTGCTGTGGGTCTTCTACGTCAGCGTGCTGTGGCTGCTGGCCACCACGTGACCGACGTTGGAACGGCTGCGCAGCGCGGCGGCCTGAGGGGCGGCTTCCCCGGGCACTGCCGCGTGCGCAGTTCGACGTCTGAGGTGCCCCTTTGCGGCGCACTCTCAGTTACCTCCGTCCGTCTACCCACCCCCCCGTCCTCCTCCGTCCGTCCTCCCTTCTCCGCCCGTCCTCCTTCCCTCCTCCGTCCCTTGTCCGTCCCTTCTCCGTCCTCCTCCGTCCTCCTCCGTCCTCCCCCGTCCTCCTCCGCCCTCCCCCGTCCTCCTCCGTCCTTCCTCCGCTCTCTCGCGCCGTCGCCGCCCGAAGCCCCTGGCTGGGGAAGTGACCCTGCCGGCAGCATGGCGGCAGGCGGCCTCGCCGCGCTCGCAGCGGCCTCGAATTCGCCCCGTCCGGCAGGGCCCGCCGCGTGCAAAGCCGCGGCGGCTGCCGCCAAAAGGACAGCGCGCACACGTCGCAGCGGGCAGCGCCGCAGCCGGGGCAGGCGGACGGGCGCCCGCCTCTGACGATGGAAGTGCCTGGCCGCCTGCCTCGGGCCGCCAAGGCCCCCCCCCCGTCGCCTCCCCCTCCTCCTCCTCCTCCTCCTCCTCCTCCTCCTCCTCCTCCCTCCTCCTCCTCCCTCCTCCTCCTCCTCCTCCTCCTCCTCCTCCTCCTCCTCCTCCTCCTCCTCCTCCTCCTCCTCCTCCTCCTCCTCTCCTCCTCCTCCTCTCCCCCTTGTCCTCCTCCTCCCCCTCCTCCTCCCCCTCCCCCTCCTCCTCCTCGCCTTTGTCCTGCCCCCCGTCGCCTCCCCCCCCTCCCCCAAGCCGTCCTCCTCCAGCACCTGCGGTAGGTTCGTGTCGTGTCGGCGCGGCTGCGACCCCACCGCGGGCGTCCGGCCACTGTGGAGCAAGCTGGCGATCGGAAAGCCGCCGATCGTTCAAGGTTGTACGACCCACGAGAGAGCAACGCCGAAGTCGCCACGGCACGGACCTGACCGCACCGTAGGCCTGCCGCTGTCCCTGCATCCGGGTGTTAATGTCCGGCGCGCTGCTCTGAACCTCTCTCGCGCTCCGCCAGCTGCCCGCGCCGTGTCGGGTCGCCGGAGGCGACGGCGAGCAGGAGTGTACAGCCACGGTGGCAGGCAGGCGCGGCCGCCAGAAAAGGTGCTCGCGGCACCGCGCGTCTGCTGGTGCATGGGGGCTTGCTTGTGAGGGCGGGGGAGGAGGGGGGGGGGGATGGAGGAGGGTGGAGAACAAGCGGGATGACGAGGGGAGGTAGGAGGGAAGGAGAAGAGAAGGGGGGAGAGGCCGGAGGATGAGGAGGAGGACGAGGAGGAGGAGGAGGAGGAGGAGGAGGAGGAGGAGGAGGAGGAGGCCCGGCCCCGCTCTCGCGCCAGAGCGGTTCTGTACCAGGGGGCCCCAGGCGGCGGCACGACCCCAGGGCTCCGCGAGTCCTTTGGGCGGCTGAGCCCATGCGGTTCGGCCGCGGAGCGGGCTCCGGGTGGAGCCCAGGCGGCGTCCGAGCGGACCTGGTTCTTGCCACCGCTGGCCTGTGCGGAGTCGCACGGGCCCAGACGCCGAAGGTCAAGCAGTGGCGAAGCGTTCTGGCTCGCCTACAGGCCCACCAAAGAATGTTCTAAGATCCATGTGTGGTCTGCACGAGATGTTCTTGGACCATGTCTTGCCGAGGCTGCCTCGTTTTGACACATCGGGCTGGTGTGATATGCACATTGTTGTTGCTCTCAGAACATTTGCTGGGTTCCAGGAGCATTCCGTGGCAGGCCTGTGGGAATGCTGGGACGGCCGGTCCCTGCTCAAGAAGGGGCGCATGAGGAGACCTTCGTTTTTTCGGGGGAGCGGCGAGCGGCCCGGGACCTTCACTGGTCACCAGTCTTGTGGACGCATCTCTGTTCTGCACGACGCGCCTCGCTGCGCAATGTTCCACCCGCCTGAGGTGTGCAAAGGGCAACTGGCCAAGAGGCTCGAGGGACTTGTCCATATTCAGGAGGGCAAAACACAGAGACACAGACACAGACACAGACACAGACACAGACACAGACACAGACACAGACACAGACACACAGACACAGACACAGACACACACACACACACACACACACACACACACACACACACACACACACACGCACGCACACGCACACGCACACGCACACGCACACGCACACAGACACAAGTAATTGTCGATTCCCTCGGAACTGTGGGAAGCTAACTATGGAAAGTTGGGGGGGAAGACGATCATCCAAACATATGTCTAAAAATATGGGGAATCGTGGGATTTGTGTGTATTTATTTGTGTGTCCCTGGGCTGACCGGAGGGCTGACCGAAGGGCTGACCGAAGGGCCTGCAGGAGGCGCCTGGATGATTCCTGCAGTGGCGCTTGGTTGCCATTCTGCGGGCAGCCCCTCGCAAGTCGGGGTTGGGCGTGGATTGGGCACTTGGTAAGGGAGGTGCTTCGAAAGGCCACACTAAGCGGATTCATGCCAGGAGGGAGATGTGAGAGTGAGGGGTTCAAGGGCTCTTATTTTCACTGAACCTGGGCGTCTCGCGGCTGCAGGAGAGTTCAATTGGATCACATCATTGCTGTTGTGATCGTCGCCGCGCGGTTCGATTGCCGAAGGCTCCATCACAGGAGCGATTGTACTAGAACTTCTCAGTTGTTGGTGCATGAGAGCGTTAGAAATGACCTCAAGTTCAGGCGCTGTTTTGGGGGGAGTTTTCAGTTGTTTCAGGGAGGGTGTGGCGGACAAGAGCTCGAATGTTCCACGGCGCCCGGTCCTTAATGTGCATCGGGCATGAGGGCGCCCATGCATGCCACGCCCAATCAGTTGCACCTCGGCGCGGTGCCAGCCGCAGGCAAACCGGTCTTACCGCATCAGCCATGGCGCGTCGCGGAGCGGACTTGTTTCTCAAAGGGGATATTCCGGATTTTTACCCCGTGGCAGTGGCTATCACTTGATCGGGCGGCTTTTATAACATTGACCAGTGAGGTACAGCGAGCGACTTGAATAAGGAATACTTGCTTTTCAGAAGGGGCTCGGTCGTTCTTTGGGCTTGCATGCGTTATTTATCGCTCCTTATGCGCTATGTATGATTCGTCTTTCCTTATGCGTTATTCCTTGGGAGAAAGAGGCTTCGTTCCTCATGTATCGTGCCCTAGGCCAGGCTGATGACTGTAAGGGGGCGCGGCAGGCCTTGCGGGATCCAGCTCTTCGCCTCTGGACCCGGGCGGTCACTACCTGATGGTGTTGGAGCCCAATGCGCTGGAAGACTTCGCTCAGCTGGCACGCTGCCTCTCTTTTGTCCGCAGAACCCAGATCATTGGATACAGATTTTTTCCGGTCGCGACCGGTAGTGACCGGCCGGCACTCCACATCGGTCGCGACCGATCGCGACCGATCCCAAAGTCGGTCGCGACTGGTCTCCACCGATTTTGAAGCAAATCAGTCGCGACCGACACCGAAACCTGAAGCAAAGCCTGCAGCGACCGATCTCCTCAGTCGCGACTTGAACATTCCAGTATCAAATGATCAGGGAAGGGGCGATACAGTCGAAGCTGCTTCAACAGATCGACCGATCAAAATCTAGGGCACCCTTGGTGTCCTGTTTGTCGTGTTCCCAATCCTCGTGCCGTCAGGAGCACAGGCTGGCATCGGCAAAGACCTGAGTCCCCTCGGGTGGCCCCTGCAATCAGTCCTGGCTCTGGCATGTGACACTGTACATCTCGACCCGATCGATCCGCCCTGCTGTTTACTCTGGCTGGCCCGACTCGACTCGACCCAGGCAGCCCGACGCTCCGAGGCGGCCCGATACCTGCATGGCGCCGGTGCCTCTTGGTGCGGCCGATCCGATTCGACTTCGAAGGCGTGCCGGCACAGCCCCACCCGACGCACCTTTCGATCCCACCCGACTCCCCGATGCGGTGCCGACCTGTCCTGTGGGGGGCGTGCGCGGACCTCGGCTGGCCCACCCGTCGTCGGCCAAGCTGACGATCGAACAACACGCACCCAGACTGGTACTCATAGGGGGGGGGCGGAGAGGGGGCTATGGGTGCGTGTTGTCGGATGGGGGTCCCCGCTCGAACGGGAGGTTCCCCCAGGGTCCGACGACCCGCACCCATACCCATGGCCAGTCCTCCTCCTTCCGACCCTCCTATGGGTATGGGTGTGTGTTGTTCGCTCGTCACACGCTGTGCGCCGGCCGCAGGGCCGGCGGCGGGCCGGAGGCCCCGAGGGCGGCGGCTCCCGGCAGCCCCGGCGCTCGCAGTGCACGGCGGGCTTCCGGCGTGCGGGCGCGGCGGGGATGTTCGGGCCGGGCGAAAGGGGGGGATTGGGAAAGGGGGTTACGAAATTTGCTGCATGCAGCTGGTTTCGGCCTCACCGAGGGGCCCATTCCTCGATACATAGCCGCCTCCGGCGCCGGGAGGCGCTGGGAAAATCAGCTACGTGAGCTGATTCTCAAACCCCCCCTTTGCTATCCCCCCCTTTCGCCCGACCCGAGATGTGCCCACGCGGGTGCCTCGAGGCTGTGGTTATCGGCATGAAGCACAGGCCTATCCTTATATTTCTGGCATATCCTCGTCTCGGTGCAGACCTCGAGGGTTCCTTCGGTGTCTGGAGGCGCATCCCTGAGATTCTCATCGTCTTGGGAGTGTCCATCGTAGGAGCGGGGATATACAGTTCGAGGCAGGTTAAGTATGCGACGCTGGCGACGGTGGCGACGGTGGCAGTTGCGAGCGCGACGGCGGCAACGATGGCGACGCGTCGAAGACGGCGAAGGCGACGACGACGACGGCGACGGACGCCGACGACGACGACGGCGACGGCGACGGCGACGACGGCGAGCGCAGCGGCGACGGCGACGGCCACGATGGTGACGGCGGCGACTGCAGCTGGGCGGCGTGAGCCAGGCTGATCTTGAAGATCCACCTCTCGGACAGCGGAGGCCGTTCTAGCTTGATCGATCCACTCGGTGTCAGAAGCCAGGTCTGGCGGAGTGCAGCGGCACATGGCCTCAGCGACGTGGGCCCACTACCCTCACACCGCACCAGTTCCGCATTCGCTTGTCTTTCGGTCCATCAGCGCGGGAGCGCTGCGTAGATTAGATGGCCCAGTGCGGCGCATCGCACTTCAGAGCAGTAATCCAAATCCCTTCTTAATCGACCCCCTGGTCCCGTTTTTGTATGGCACCTTTTTTGGAACTGGGGGGGTCTGGTTTATTCGGGCGCTTGCTTTGGATTGGAGCTCAGGGGGGTCCGGTGTATTCATGCGCCCCGTCGAAGAGGGGGGTCCGGAATCTTAGGTCGCATTTGGAGGGGGGTCCGGTTTTTGTTAGGGGGGGTCGATTGATATGGGATTTGGAGTACCTGGAGGCATGAACGTCACGGCCCGCCACAGTCAGGAGGGAAAGAAACACACAGACACAATTAATCGTCGAGTCCCAGGGAAATATGGGAAAATCTGGGAATTGGGCGGGAAGACAAAAACGCAGAAAACATAGGAAAATATGGGGAACCATTCTATTTGTGTGTATTTATTCGTGTGTCCCAGGGCCCCTTCACACAGGGCAGGGGGCCCTCGCAGATCTCCAGGGGCCCCTGGAGGTATCCAGAGGCTCCCGGAGCCGTGCGCTCGGATCGCGTCGCGTGGACCAGGCGGCGACCCCGCCGCTGGCGTTCAGCGTTGAGCGCCGCCACCGTGAAGTCGGGCGTGTCCCTCTACAGGGGGACTATTTCAAAGATAGTCAAAACATAGTCTGGGGACGATTTTTTGATACATCGTTCTTCCATTTTTGGGCATTTTTCTGCTTTCTTATTGTTCTTCCAAATCTGCCTGTGGGGGGACATGCCCGACCTAACGCCAGCGACCCAGAGTCGGTCGGTGAAGAACGATCGGACGTTTCCCAGCCACGCGCCGGAACAGCAGCGGCCTGCGCGACTGGAGAGTGTTTTGTTCTACCCTCTGGGCCCAATAACGCGTGTTATACCCCCTCATGACCCCCCCCTCCTCGCCCCCATTCACCACCCACGAAGCCCCCCCCACCCAACCCGATGGCCCCAATGTGCCCGCCATTCCCAGTGGGGGGGGCGTCGGGGACCACTGTGAAATAACACGTGGAACCCGTGCCCCCCAATCCGAAATTCGGGTCTTCGGGTTGGGTTGGGGTGGTCTGGTAGGTAGTCACCCAATGCGTAACGCTCCCCCCGTCAGTGCGTCCCCGGCACTGCCGCAGTGCGTCCACCACCTCAGTCTGGCGGGGGGGAGGGGGGCGCTATACGTGATGCCCCCTCCCGGCCCCCCTCCCCCCTCCACCCCCCTTCACGCCCGCCATGGCCGCGAGTAAAACAATGCGCTCCTCCTCTCCTCCTCCTCCTCTCCTCCTCCTCCTCCTCCTCCTCCTCCTCCCTCCTCCTCTCAAGTGAAGCCGCGCACCAAAGGTCACTCTTGCCCAGGATCGCTGTTCCCAGACCCCTGACGTCATGATTTTTCATGGCGTCGACCCCCAGAGATTTCGACCTATTACCCAGGACCGGTTTTTCATCCTGAGTCGTTTTTTGGCGGTCCCGAAGCCCAGTAAGGGCCCCCAGAAGCTGAAAATTGCGAAAAACCTTTCGTCATGATTTGTTTATTATTCGAGGGGGTCTGGGTTGCATGCGTAGTCGACGAGAGCGCGACAATTCCGGTCGCCGCGCGATCGCGCGGCGCGAGGCGCGTCTCGCGCGAGACGGCCCGGCGGCGGGCTTCGATCCAGGGGCGCCGGCGGCGAAGGGCCAAAGAGGGGCCCCCGTGTCCCAGGGACGACTTTTGTTTTTGAGTATGTTTGGTGTTTTTTTTGGTGTAGTTCTTGACTGTTTTGCATGTTTCGTCCAAGATCCCCCTGCAGGGGGACACGCCCGACCTGAGAGAACTCTGGGCTGGATGTGGATCAGGCAGTGGCTCATTAGCGACGGGTCCCGTTTCCTTAAGAAATCGCGGTGACTTTTGTTTAGAGTATGTTTGGTAGTTTTTCTGGAGTCGTTCTGGGCCGTTTTGTACTTCGGGGGCGGCCAAGAGAGGGGGGTGATGACCTGGGGGATGGATATCATGGCGGGGGCCATGACAGAAATCGTGGCGCCTCTTCTCATTTCATTGCGTCCCTGGCCCCTCCCCCATGGGCCGCGCACATGCCGCCAGTCATGATTTGCCCCCCCCCCGCCCCCCCCCCTTCTTGGACACCCCCCTCCTGGCCGCTCCCGAGCATTTTTCGTCCAAGGTCCCCCTGCAGGGGGACACGCCCGACCTAAGAGAACTCTGGGCCGGATATGGATCAGGCAGTGGCTCAGCCGATCGCAGCCATGGATCAAGAAGGCGTGGATTAGCGACGGGCTCCGTTTCCGTAGGAAGTCGCGGATTTCCGCCGCCGAGCGAGGCAGCATTGGCCGCATTTAGGGGAGGGCACCTCCCCCGGTCCACGGATTTGGCGATCCATGTTTGTCTGCGCGCCCCCCGAGATGGGGACGGGATATCAGGGGATGCGAAGGGGACGCTGGGAGATTCACATACTTGAACACAACTCCAGGCCTCCCACTGTCACTTGGCATCGCTCGGACGTGTGCATTTTTCTTTCGGCGAGGACCATCGAGGAGCATCCTTGATCATTTGGCGAAAAAGCCACGCACGAAACCGAAAAAAACACAGGGAATGGACGTCCGAGCGATGGCCACTGCCAGGGGAACGAACAACGACACAACCATCACAGCTCGGAGGCCCGCGCGGATGTCTCGGGTCGGCGCTGGGGCCCCTTGCCGGCGCCTCCGGCGCCGCCCCTGGCGCGCTCCGCCGATCCGAGAGATCCGCACGGAATTCCCGGAGTTGTTAACATGTTGATGTCATTCCTCGCTCCCCTAACGCTGGGAGATACACAAAGACGAACACAAGTCCAGGCCTCCCACTACTCTCACATATACTTCCTGTATGTTCCTCTTCCCCTCCGTCTCCCACATCTTCAATGTCCCTTCCTGGAGATCACGGTCGGTTTGTGTGTGATGTCGCGGAACAGCTGCAACGGAACGCGGTGGGAAACCACGACCATGTCACGGGCGGGGAGCGGTTCAAAAGGCATTGTTTTGCCGTCGGGGGCGCCTGTCTCAGGGCGGATGGAGAGGCTATACACCCTTGCGGCGGCACGTCAGGGTATAAGCTCTCCAGCCGCCCTGAGACAGGCGCCCCCCGGGACGAACAAGTTCATTGTGTACCGTTCTTCTTCGCTCGCTAAACTTATGTCGGGCGTGTCCCCCTACAGGGGTATTTTCGACGAAAAGTAAAAGAATATCCCAAGAATGCCACAAAAAATAAAGAATACCCTAAGAATGCCCCAAAAAGGCAAAAAAAGATTCAAAACATAGTCCCCAGACTATCTTTGGATTATTTGTTTTGATCATTTTGGGTGTATTTTTTATTTTTCGTCGAAAATCCCCTTGTGTAGGGGGAAAGGCCCGACTTAACGCTAAGCCATGGGCCCCAGGCCTGCCCTTCCTGCGGCACCTCTCCGTCCGAGGGGGCCGACGCCGGGGGCGCCCCGGGGCCCAAGCCCTGGCGAAGGCGCCAGCGCGAGCAAGAAGCCGACGCCGGGGTCTCGGGGATCCGTGCGGTGACCGGACCGTCGGGCCAGCGTCTGGGAATTGATCGATGAGATCGTTTTTCTACGACAAGCCCTCATGAAACACACGAGTAGCGTTATGAATGAATTCCCTCGGCGGCGTCAGCTTGGGCGGAAAAGCTGGTGCCACTCACGCTTTCCAGACACGGCAGCGTCTTTGGCCAAACGCTGCAATGAGCGCTGAAACCCCTTCACTGACCTAGCTCGCACCACCGCGCCGTCGGTGACCGGACCGTCGGGCCAGCGTCTGGGAATTGGTCGATGAGATCGTGCCGACTCCGGGTCAGGTCGGGCCTGTCCCCCTGCAGGGGGGATTTTCGACGAAACATAAAACATACACCAACAATATTCAAAAATGATCCAAAATTAAACAAAAAATGAAAAAATTGTCCCCAGGCTATTTTTGGATTATTTCTGGGGTATTTTTTCGTCGAAAATCCCCCTGTAGGGTGACACGCCCGACTTAAACTGAGGGTCGATTAGCGTCGATTTGGCCCTGCTTTAGCGTTGCTTCAGCGTCGACGTGCATCGATCAGCGTCGATTCGCAAGAGCCAACAGGATGGCATGAGAGGGTCCCATGAGTTGCCGCGGAAGCGGTGGGGGTGGGCTGGATCAGGGGGGGGAAGCATCGCTCCCGAATGGACCGTTCTTCGCCGGCCAGGGGCCTTGCGGGCCCAAGCCAAGCCTGCCCAGGAAGGTTTGATTTCCCCCGGGGGGGACCTATCGCCGCGCTGTCGGCGACGTATCGTTGATTCTGGGGCATCGTTCCGCGCTTGAGCCAGTCACCCCCTTGCGGTCCGGAGAAGCTCGTCCATCGCCAGTGGGTGATTTGTCAAACTGTCTCGGCGCACGTCGGCAAACACGTGCAGCATCTCGCACGCACCGTTCCATTCAGCATGCCTGCGCATTGCGTTTCGAGAGATGCCCTGTCTTGGAATTGTGTTTCCTTTGCGTCGGCAGGGACATGACTTGATAGCTCTATGCATGATGGGCAGTGGCATATGTGCAAGATGTGCTCACCAGCGAGAATATCCGAGCCATGTCAGGAATTCAAGATCGTCGTATGCATAGGTGAACCGAGGCGGTTGTGGCGCAAGCGTGAGCGTTGTCGCATTGGCAGCGCCCTCCACGCTGCCTGCGCAGGGGTCTTTCACGAGCTACGTGGTCTTCACTGTCTGCACTGTTCAGTTCGAGCGGCCGAGTACTACCCTGCTCCGCATCGTCGCGCCAGACCCGCTCGCACCGACGTCGAGGCTGGAGCGAAGTGCCTTCACCTCGACGATGACGACGACCACCATCACCCATACGAGCACGACGACCGCAACGTTCACAACCGATAGCTCCACGGCAACCAGCAGCTCCACCGTGACGAGCAGCTCCACTACCCTGTCGACAACATCGTCCAGCACGTCGCAGACGAGCACCACGACTTTGCGCCGTGCTTAACCATCCTTGATCTGCCAGTCGGGCCTAATCCTGCTCCGCTGTCTGAATATGTTGTCTGTTCTCTTTTGTTGCGGAAGGCGGCCAATGCCGAACTGATAGCGGGAGCAGTTGCCTGGGCAGGCACTTTGGGCCATCATGGGGCCCTTGGGCCTTTTGGGACCCTCCTGGAGGCCACTTGGGTCATAGAGGCTTCATGTGGCGTCCTGAGCTGACGGACACCAGAACTAGCGGTCATGCGGCCACCACACAACCAATGAACTTGTATGATGTCTGACTTCTTCGGGCACTCCTGGGAGTCCCCTGGTAGCCCTCGCGGATGCGTATAGAGACGTCTTGAGGCCATCTTGGGTCGCTTTGGGGCCCTATTGAGCCTTATTGGATGCATCTCGGACCATCTTGGCGGCCCTGGTTGCCTGCCTGGGGCGTCTTGGAAGCTTCGGGGCGCGGACGTATGTTTTTTACAAGGGATCGTGGATGGGGGAGCGCGGACCTTATGTTTTTGTTTCAAGGGATCGTGGCCACGCGAGCGCGTATCTATGTTTTTTTGATTGGGATTGTGGCCTTGGGAGGGGTGGCGCACACGCGTGTCTGCGAGTAGGGAGGGGGGCTGGAAGATTCAGAAGGAATACCAGGCAGCACTTGGCATTCCACCACGCCTCAACGTGCCAGGGGGCACCGTCGCGGATCAGTCTGCATGTAGTGGCCTTCGGCCCATCCCGCCACCTCGCCTGGGTCGTGGACACAAGGCCTCTTGGATGCTTCTTGGATTCCTGTTGGACGTGCCGTTGGAGCCTGCCTCTTGGCGGCCTCTTAGAAGCCTCCTGGGGGCCTACGGGGGTCCTCTGGGGGCCGCCTGGAGGCCTGCTGACGCTCTCGGGAGCCACCTCGGGATGGGTGGCCGCAAATGGCAGTTCGGGCCCCCTCTCTCTGTGGAGCCTGTGGCGGGCCCGCGGGACCATTCTGGACGCCTCGCGTGCCCTCTTGGGCAGGTGCTGGGGGCCTCTTGAGTGCTCACACGAGCTGAACATGTGAGTCCGCGAGAATCATAAAACAGCTTGAGGTTGTTTGGTGGCGTGGGCCTCTTTGGCCGGCCTGCAGTGCCGGCAAGAAGGCCCAGGGTTCTCCTCGTCGGGGCTCAAGAGACGGGGGTCAGTGCAAACGGGGGTCAGTCAGAGTGCCGGACCTTGCAGGATCTTGCAGGGCCAGGGGTGCACTGATCCGGGCTTGCGTGCAGGATCTTGACGTGTCCTGCAGGATCTTGCAGGACCCTGCAAAGCCCGACTGACCCGGGCTTGAATCGACCCCGGGGTCAGGTGATCCCCGACCTCCGAGTCCCAGGACGATCCCGTGGGGGCATGCGTAGGACACGTGGGAGGCACGGACTCCCGGCCGCGCTCCCGAGGCCTCGGGAAAAGTCGCGCAGGGGATCCTTTGGGAACGCCAAGAAGCGCCCAGGAATTCCCCTGAAACATCATGTGCAGTGTTCATCGCCATGGGGGAAGCGGGGGTCCCGAGGGAAACGGGTCCCGAGGTTTGTCGCCGTTCTCTGGCCCTCGGGGCCCTCCACGGGCGGGACCGTCGGAAGACGATTCGGGATGCAGATCCTGGTCTTGGGGGAAGGCCCCAGGGTCCAGGACCCGTTTCCCTCGGGACCCGCTTCCCCGAGGTCAAGCTGAGCGCGGGGGGTCTTGCTGGCTCCAAGAGGGCGCGCCTCGATGCCAGGCTGGCGCAGCCCTCCTGTTCTCCCCGAGCGTGCCCGCACCGGGGCGCGAGGGTGGTCGGTACTTCTCCGCAGTCTGGGCTGTAAAGGGCCGCTGTTCTCCGAGGAAGCGGGTGCGATCGCTCGCTGGGCTGGACGCCCTCGAAGGGCTGACCTCCTTCGGCCACGCGCAGAGGGGGGTGGGGGTAGGGGGGAGGGCTTCTTAGAAGCACCCCTGCTTCTTAGAAGGCGCGTGCCTTATCTGTAGATGTAAGCCTGGCGCCTTCTAAGAAGCAGCCTCCTTCTAAGAAGCCCTCCCCCCTCCCTCCACCCCCTTGTGCGCGCCGCCAACTCCGATTGTGCTCCGAATCGGGGAGGGGGGGAGGGGGCGGCGGCGCAGCGGCGCGAAGGAGACCGCGCGGCGCTCCGCGCGGCGAGGGGCGCGGAGTGCAGTGGCCGAGAGGAAGAGGGAAGCGCGCGGAGCAGGAGGAGGAGGTGGAGGAGGAGGAGGAGGAGGAGGAGGAGGAGGAGGAGGGGGAGGAGGAGGAGGAGGGAGGAGGAGGAGGAGGAGGAGGAGAAGGAGGAGGAGGTGGAGGTGGAGGAGGAGGTGGAGGTGGAGGTGGAGATGGAGGAGGAGGAGGAGGAGGAAGAGGAGGAGGAGGAGGGAGGAAAGGAGGGAGGAGGAGGGAGGAGGAATGGAATGGAATGGACCTATCGCGAAGCGATGAAAACGTCACCCAATCCGCCGCCGAGGTCTACTCAGCATTGATGGGGCAAACTACTTCGGCATCTTGCCGTCGTATATATTCTTGAGATGTTCGATTCGCTTGGGTGTGGGGGAGGCCAAACAAACATTGCCCAGACCTCTGAACTGGGCACTCCCGTAGTATCCACACTCCTTGCAGAACCACAATTTGAGGCTCTTGTGAAAGAGGAGGCTGTGACTGACATGTGTGAGACCACCCCCTATATGAATAGACTGACCCCTCGGCAACCGAAGCAAATCACCACAGTGCTGCGGAATCAAATCGAAACACGGAGTGGTCCGCCAATTAGTGAGGGCATATTTTGCAGCGCTCCCACGACACCTAAGACAACTTCTCCCGTCATCTGAGAGCTGATGCTGGGATGCAAAAATTGACAGGGCCGCAGGAGAGGGGGGGGGGGGGGGCAGGCGCGCTTTTTTGACCACTGGGGACCGTTTTTCAGCAACCATGGCGTCTAGTGTAGACCTGAGGAGCCGCTTTCTGACAAGGATCGCTTTGTGTTCAACCTGGGCGATGCGAGACCTAACAGAAGCGGGGACGCGGTTCTCCTTGGCGGCTGTACCCGCCAGCTCGTCCGCAGCTGTGTTCCCGAGAACCAGCCAAAGAGGATGGGGACCCGAGACAGCCTGGGCAGCGGGGATGTGCGACGGCACTTGAAGAACAACAACCACAGAAAAATCACGACGCTCGGCAAGCTGGCCGAGCTCATGCCACAAGTCCTGATTCTCCCCCTTACTATCAAGGAAGCGTTTACTGTACCACCCTGCACTCACCGACTCGTTGTCGGTCACAAAAATTGTAAAGCCTCTACTGAAACGAATCGCTAGAATTAATGCCATTAATTCACCCCTGGGCACCGTCTGTTTGGGGCCGTGGAGGGGGCCTCGGATCGAACCATCGACCTGGAAAGGTTCGAAGCATGAAACCGAAACGATACCTACACCTACCCTGCGCAAGCGGGGATCCCTGGAGTCCTCACCCCCGCTGGCGTCCCCAAAAAGGAAGTTGGGGCTCTCTTGGGATCCAAGGCCAAGGGTGTGAGGGCCTAACTCATTAGAACCACTGAAAACCCAAGACGGTTCCGAGGGAGGTGGGGGCACTTTGGTCCAACTCCCAGGGATAATCCCCCTGAGCCAAAAGCAGGCGTGGGACTCGTGTTGAGCCACCGCCTCAACAGTCAGGTTGTCTGACTGGTCGTATGCACGGGAGCCGACGTTGCAACTGCAAAGCCACGACCTGTGCAGAGGTGTCTCAGCCACCTCCCCACATCTCGGGCAGGTCGCTGAGTCGATGCCCCCCACTTCGTCCATGATGCGCTGCCGCGGCCACGTGCCGCCAGCAGCCACGCACACCATTGTCTCTGCAAGCTGGTTACCTTTCCTGGCCCCCTCGAGCACGCGCAAGAAGTGGCGGTATGACATATTATCAGCTCCCTCTTGGAGGCCTTCTCCACAGAAATGGCGAGCCGCACTAGCCCACTGATGCGCACGAATAGTCTTATCAAATTCATCAACTAAGGGTGAGATGTCGTCCGACGGGCCGAGCTGATTGAAAATAAAAGCTTCGCGATCGAGCTCCCCAGCCGGCCTGGTGCCCCACTCCGATGGTGAAACTGGGTCCCACCTGTACTGCAGCAGGTAGGTCACCAGCGCCGATAGAGGCCCCCTGACGTGACGGGAGCGCATCTGCGCTGGCATCGCTGTGAGCTTGGCGACAACAGTTGGCCATGCTCGAGCGATCCCTGCATGCAGCCGAGGCTCCGACTGCCAAGCCGTCAGCCACAGCCGAACCGTGTTGACTGGGAGCCTGTACCCTGGGTCCATGTCGGGGCACCTCAAGTCGAGCACAGTCGTGAGGCAACGGCCACGACGAGACGAACTTGCAACCTGCCCCAGCTTCCTCCTCATACTCATCATACTCGAACCAAAGACACCAAGCACCTCGTGACCATAATGTCCAGCTGGCTGTGCTCCACATTGCTCAAGCCGAACTGCTGGACGGTACCTCCTGGATGCTCGCGCGAAGCGAACGATCTTGGAGGACATGGTGCCTGCCTTGGCCACTCGCTTGCGGGCTGTGGCTCGGGCTTGGCGGCCCGCGCCCATGTCGAGGCCTAAATAGGCCGTCTGCAGGACAGGGATCACCTCAATGCCCTTCACCTTTAGCCTAGAAGAAATATACTTGGCGTCCTGGAGTTTGGAACACAACACGACGCTCTTCGCAGCAACCTTCAGGCCGTCCTTGTCAAGCAGCTGGGCTGTCTGGTGCAGCACCTGAACCATGACCTTCCGAATGGTCCGCCTTGAACTGGCCAGTGACTGCGACAGGTCGTCGATCCACGGCCTCATGTCGACCAGGGGGTGCCTCTGAGACATCTGGTCGAGCACGAAGTACGTCATGCAGCGGGCGAATCGAGTCCCGCTGCGCAATCCTTGGATAACGCTCCCCGTGGGCTGGAACGCTTCCGAAAAAAACAATCACGCGCTGCCAGAGTGCGTGCTGCAAGGCATAATTGGAGCTCAAGATGCAGTACAGCTGGAGGAAACCCTAACTCTAGGGCCTTGGATGCCAATCGGATCCAGCATATACTGTCATAAAAGCTTTGTATATCAAGCAGACCATTGGCAAAGTCGATGCCGAGCAGGCTGTGCACCTCGTCGCTCAAGGCTCTAGCAAACCCCTCGCGAAGTGCAGCATTGCCTGCCACCGCGGCATCCCAAAAAGGTTGTGAGTCGGTCGACCAGGTACGAATCCATGGTTCTCTCGACTTCGACCATATCCGTGGGATCATGCCCACAAGTCCGATGATGCGATCTCCTCCAGATTTTTTCTCAAGCATCCTGCCGATGGTAAGTAGCAATTGACGCGGCCAAGTCAGACAAGCCTCGGCGTCGTTGAGGAGCTGGGCTAGCTCATCCAACCCTTCGGCAGGTAGACGTTCGACGTCTAAAGGAGAAAGGCGATCGACACCTTGGCCCGCACGGGGCCGCATAGAATGAGCTGCCTCCTGGAGCATGGGCCCCGTCAGAGCTGGCAGAGCCCGAAGGTCAGCTTCAGCACGAATATCGTCCAACACTCGGAACAGTCTCTCGCCGTCGAAACTGGTACCACTGCTCCACAAATCATGCCATCGGGTGACCTTGCGGTCGATGATAGCCTTGGGATGATGAAGTACTTCACCTTGCAGCACTAGCTCCTCGACTGGGGGCGGAGGTGACTTGATAGACTTATGCAGAACAGGTAATGCCGCCTCCGATGCCATCCAAGTGCGAAACTCCTGCAGCGAAGTACGAAGCGCTTTGCCCCGAGCCCTTTTCACAGCCCGGCTTGCAACATCAATCATAGACTTGAGTTGTGGGATGTCAATCTCCATTGGTCGTGATAGCAGGCTGATCCAACTATGCCATTCCCACTTCTCAGAAAGAAACATATGTGCCGTGGTCGGGTAGTCGGTGGTGAGGCGCTGGCAAGCGTCCACGATTGCAAGACACTGCTTGGCCCCGTTCTGGCGCTCGACGTGCTTGAGCGCCCTCTCGAGGATCGTGGACACACGGCCCCACCAAGACGTCGCCTGGTCCATCAACGGTTGGGCCCGCGACTTCTCAGGCATGTGAACTTCGCGCGCAACAGAATGAGGTCCATCCCCTCGCCGTGGCCCACGCAAGTCCTGTCCGTGGTGACTCTTGATGGTCAGCTCAAGCGTGGACACCCATGCCGCATACCTGCCGCTGAGCGCATCGATGCGTTGTGCGCCCGCGCGGAAAGCTAGGGAGTCCCTGGCCACAGGCCAGGTGCAAGGGGCTGAAACGAAGCCAACATCTGAACGATGCTTGAGCCAAGATGAGGACGGAATGGAGAAAGTTGGGAGTGGATCAGCAGCAGCACCAGCATTACTGACAGTGGTTGCCGAGGGGTCTGGGGTATCCCTAGCACGCTCCACATCAACCTGCTGAGACTGCCCACGCTCCACGGGGAGAGAAGACGAACTAGACGAGGCCCTGGGACCAGGGGGATCTAAACTGCCAGGCAGAACTCCAGGGCCCAGACTCCCAGGCGCGGAAGGCTCCTGGGCCCCATCACGCGCCCCAAAGTTGCCCTCGCTGGCCCAGGGGTCCTCCTCCTCGTCAGGAAAATCTAAAAAGGGTCGAAATCTTCAAAGGGATCTGCAAACGGGTCCTCTTCGTGACCTCGCTCGGAAATGCTACCTGCAGCATTCGGATGGGACGGCGGCTCCTCGCCAAAATCCTGCGAGCCTATCTCGCCAGGCGGCGTCGAGCCAGGACCCCCTACCACATCCCCAAAAAGATCATCACACTCTGCGCGGACCTTCTCCCGAGCAGATGCTACCTGAAAAGCTCGTTTCTTTTTTGCAGTCGAGGACTTGGAGCCAGGAGAGGGGAGGGAGGAAGGGCGGGGGACCTGGGGCAACTTAGACGGAAGCTCCAAAGAACGGGTGAGCATCTGGGCCCCCTGGCCTCGGAACCTCAGAAGAAGACCACAAGGTGTTTGCCGCGGCGCGTCGGTGATGGCCACCAAATCGATCACGTATGGGATGAAACTTGTGCTAGCTAGCGCAAGATCACGCTCGGTGCCTGCGCCCTTAGTACTGGCCGTGCAGGTGACACTGGTATTAGAAGCTGACAACACTACGCCGTCGACTTTCGAAACGAAGCCTTGCTTGCGAATGATCACTGGTGCCATGTTCCAGCCAGCCAGAACTAGCCAAGGAAGTTGTAGACTACGAAGCAGCCCTCCAAGTTTAGCGAAACGTTGAGCATTGCGAGCGGACCAGCCCTCCCCCGAGAAGCCGTAGAAGCTCACTGCCACAAAAGAAAAACCCTTCATGTCCACCATCGTCGCTTGAAAGCCATCGAGCAATTGATGACCTGGAGCGAATAGCTGGGACCATGTACTAGCTAATGACGAAATACTGCGATGCCCTTGCGCCAGCGTCCATTCACCTCCCTCATTGGAGCGATGTTCAAAGCCGGCTTGGACAGGGAGTCCGTTAGGGCGAGCTGGGTTGCCAAGGAGTCTCAGGCCCGCCTGGCGAGCCTTCTTCTGCCACTCGGCCATGCCGTTGGAGTCGATATGCGTCTCCACCAGCTGCACGTAATTGAAAACTGGATGCTGATCAGAGACAATGTAGTCCCAAGCTTTTGGTCCTGCAACAGTGATGTTAGCAAAGAACATAGAACATACATTGGCCTCGTCCCCAGCCGACGCAGAGTCGGCAGCGCCCTCAGCCGAGGCAGGCGCCGCTGCGCCAGTCGACGGACTCGGCGGGGCGGCGCGCCTCGGCTGCTGGCCTCACTGGGGCCCGCCGCCCACTGCGGCAGCCCCTGGGCCGTCAGCCATGGCTGCCGCACGGGCGGCCTTGGCCGCCTCCATCTTCGCCGCGGAGATGCGCGCCGCAACCTCCTCGATCCTCTTCTGCTTGTCCTCCTCGGACTCCGCGGGCGCCGTCGCCTCGGCGGCAGGGCCGCTGGGCGTCGCGCCCTGGTCCTGGCCCTGCTGGGGCGGAGCCGCCGCGGGAGCCCCGCTGGAGCCCTTCCTCTTCTTGGCCATCCTCTCGGTGATGGCCGCCTTGAGCTCGGCGGTGCGAGCCTGCCAGTCCTTCACCTCCGTGTGCTTGCCCTCCACGAGCTGCTGGGCCTCGCGGAGCTGCCGCTCGAGGTCCCTGAGCTTGGCAAGCTCGTCGCCCTCCAAGTCGAGCTTCTCGAGCTCCTGGAAGAACTGGTCGTCTATGTCGAGCTTGAACAGCACCTTCTGCTCAGGCGCCGCTGGCGTGGCAGCGGCCTGGGTCAGGCCCATCTGTTTGGCCAAGGTGGCCGCCGCCGCCCTCTTCGCCTCCTCGGCGCGGGCGAGAATGAGCGACGTCTCCCGTTCCTTGGCCTCCGCCTTCTCTAAGTTCTCGCGTGCTTTGAGAACGCCCTGAACTGCTTGGTCATGGCGAACCGTAGCATCTTTCCAAGCCCCCGAGGCATGCTTGATCTGCTCCTCGGGGGACATCGTGGGGCGGAGAGCCTCGCGCTTCTTCTGCAGCTCGTCGGTGAGGAGCTTCCTGAGGAGCGGGTCAGTCGTAGCAGTCAGAGTCTTCTCCATCAGCGAGATCTCATCTTGCACTTTGCTGCCCTTGCCCCCGTCGGTGCTCGGCTTGGTTGCTCCGTTCACGACGCTGAGCTGCAAGGCCTGCGAGGTCTGGTCACCCCCCTTGGTCTTCGGCTGGTACAGCTTCACCTGCCGCCCGCAGCGGCAGCGCCTGTCGTGCTGCAGGAGGACATGGTTGTATTCATCCCTTCCGCAGCCCTTGCGCTTGGACCAAGGTTGAGACATCTCGATCTTAGCCAGACCGATCTTCCGCCTCACAATCAGACTGAAAGAGAATCTGATGGGAAGCGGGCGACGACCTGCCCCTCAAGCCCCCACGTGGCGGGGTCGAGGCCTGGGGCACCTGCCAAAATGGTTTGGGCCCAGGTGGCTTGAGGGAGGAGGGAGGAGGAGGAGGAGGAGGAGGAGGAGGAGGAGAGGAGGAAGAGGAGGAGGAGGGAGGAACAGGAGGGAGGAGGAGGGAGGAGGAGGGAGGGAGGAGGAGGAGGAGGAGGAGGAGGACGAGGAGGAAGAATAATAATAAGAAGAAGACAACGAAGAAGAATAAGCAGAGGAAGAATAAGAAGAAACAGAAAAATAATAAGAGGAGGAGGAGGAGGAGGATTGAGGAGGAGGGAGGAGGAGGAGGAGGGGAGGAGGAGGCGGAGGAGGCTGCAACGAGCGGTTGTTGGCGGGTCGATCCATGCAGGACACGTCCTCTGTTCCGGGGGGGATGGAGATGCATCTAGGGAGCCTGGAGGATGGAGGAGGGGCTATGGCCTTCTCCTTCCTCCCACCTTGCCCCCTTATCTCCCCTTCTCCCCTCTCTCCCCTTCCTCCTCTGGCCTCCTTCCTCCTCGTGTCTTCCTCATCCCTTCTCTTCCTTCCGTCTCCGTCCCTTCTGTCTCCTTCCTCCAACTCTCCCATCCCGCCCTCCCCCACCGCTCCGCCTTTCTCCATCCTCCCTTCTGCGCCCTTCTTGCAGCCCAGGCTTTCTGTTTCGACTGCACCCCAGCTGCCGACGAGCGCCATTCGTTGATTCTCAGTTCTGCTTCTCCCCCAGCGCCCCCAAGCGCTTGGGAGTCACCGCCACGTTTGCAAAAGGGGGATCGAGGATTCCATGGTCCGGACCAGGTCTCGGAGCCTCTCATACAGCAGGTTCGCGCCGCGTCGAAGCGACGACAGCGCATGAGTTCACCTCTGAACGCTTGATCCACAGACATTCCACGGCGTGAAATCCATACGAGATATGGTGCCGATGGCCTCTCAGAATCTGCTCGGGTGCTGATCGTTCAATAGCGGGCGATCCACGCGGTGTCAGAAACGAGGGCCCACGCCGTCCCTGTAGGATATTCCCCCCGCTGAGGTCCACTTCTACCTACACGGCTTCCACGTCGGGCACCTTCACGACATCCAGCGTGACCAGCACCTCGATGACCAGCACCTCGATGACCAGCACTGCCACGAAGACGACGATCACGCAGACAAGCGTGCCGGTAGCCAGGGGGGTTTTGCAATCGCGACCTTGACCCTGACCTTGCCCCCTTCGTCCCAGGGTCCCTTTGATCCACTGACGGCGGCGGAAGACTTGGTCCCCCAGCTCGCAGGAACACGCGGTTTAGATCAACTCAACCTAACGAGGGGGCACACCAGAAACCAGCGAGGCGGACGGAGGGGAGCGCGTCGCGAAGACGCTGCAAACATTTTCGGTACGCATTTCGGCGTTCATCGCCGCAGGCCCAACTGAAGTACTTGGCATTTCTCGGGCATGCCGTTCAATGAGCGGGCTCAGAGACGCTGGAGCCTGATTCCGAATCGTTTGATCCACCAGTGTGAGGGAGGCAGGAGGGCAGAGTGAAAGGATGGGGAGGAGAAAGTTGAGCGGATAGGAAGGCGAATAATGGAGGGGAGAGGGGGGAGAGGATGCGAGAATGCGGGGGACAGGGAGAGGGGGAAGGAACAACTTAAGTGAGATCGCTCCACATCTCAGATCCACCTCCCCCAACCAAGCCATCCTTCAGCGCGCTCGATCCCCGTCGGTCCGCCGAGCGGGAAGACCCCAGAAGACACTGATATCTCCGAATGGGAGCCGTGGGGCTTGGCCCCTCGTTTTCTGCACAGCGCGATGGCCCTAGCTGAGCGTCTAGACGGTGCGTGCACCGAGCAACCTCGTCCTGGCACTCCGTAGGGGCTCAAGAGACGGCGGTCGATGCAAACGGGCGTCAGCCAGAGCGCCAGATCTCGCAGGATCCTGCCGCTTCCGGGTCGCATTTGACCCGGGCCTGGGTGCAGGATCCTGCAGGATCCTGCGAGGCCCGACTGTTCGGGTCTGGGTTGACCCGCGTCAGCAGTAGGGGGTCACATGCGAGCCCGACCCCTACCCCCCACGATTTCTGAGGGGGAAGGTGGGGTTCACTTCGCTCGGGAGCTCCCGAACGAAGTGAACCCCACCCTCCCCCTCAGGAATCGTAGGGGGTAGGGGTCGGGCTCGCATGTGGCCCCCTAAGCAGCTCCCCGACTCGGAGGAGCTGGCCCCGTGCGTCCGCCCGTCGGACGTGTGCGCGCGGGGGCGGCCCTGCGGCTCTGCGCGGGGCCGGCCCGGCGTCGCAGGCCCGACTGGCATGCGCCGCGGCCGGCAGTGCGCCCGTCTCGGTGCCGCGCGGGCGGTGCCCTGGCCACCAGGCCCCCCCCTTGCGGTACCGTCGGAGGCGATGGCAGCGGCGGAGCACTACACCAAAGAAGCAACCCCAATCAGTGGATGGTCTGATGAGATCCCAGGGCGAGATCGATGGCGTGAGGTGACCAACGAGATCGATCATGATGCCGATCATGAGGTCATGGGATCGATCGAGAGATCGATGAGGAGATCGACCGGGGACCCGGGAACCCGGAACCCACCGAAATCGGCCGGGAACCAATAACCACGAACCAGGGAACCCGGAACGGGGAGCCGGGGAACTCAGCCAGCCACCAAAATCGGCGGGAAGGTTTTGCCAATTTTTTTGTTACGTTCTGGGGAGTGTTTGCCAGATCTTTTGTCGAACTCAGCCGGCCAGCAAAATCGGCGGGGAGAAGCACTGATTGGGGAGCCTTCCCAAGGAGAGTGTTTTTCTGTCACCCTCTGGGCGATAGCGCGCATTGTGCCCCCCTGCCGTGCCCCCCCATCCACCCCCACAGCGTAACGCTCCCCCCCCCCTCAGTGCGTCCCTGGCGCTGCCGCAGTGCGTGCGGCACCACAGTCTGGGGGGGGGGGGGGGGGGGGGCGCGCGCTACGCTATGCCCCCTCCCGTCCCCCCCCCCCCTCGCTTCCACCTCGCAACGCCCGTGATTTGGCGCGCATAAGCACACTGCGCTCAAGAATGGGTAGCCTTCCCAAGGGTGCCCTGGCATCCTTGCCTCCTCGGTCCATCCTGAAGCACTCGCTGGCCGGCCCCGCTCGCAACGCTTCGGCATGGGCGTCCGAGGGGCCTGCATCCCTGTCGCGCAGGTTTGCTATCAGACTTGGACTGCACTGGTGATCGAGGGTTGGTGCCTCGTGGTCGCCGTCTGCAGCTCGTACTTCGCGGCCCGACGGCATTCAAGTCAGAAGCAGTTGTTACAATAATGCATGCGCGCAGAGTCCGTCGCCGCCGTTTTTACATTGTCACCTTGGCCTGTGCGCGCGGCCGCCGCCAGTTTTTTGTAACACGTACTTGGTGTCCAGGGCGTGTGATCAAGGGTTGGTTCCTCGTGGTCGCCGTCTGCAGGGCCTGTCTTGTCCGTTGCCACTTTTCCGCCCCGGGGCCGTTGGTCGGCAATTCCTCTGTGGCTGGCGCTAATACGGTTGGAGCTCTGTAGGCCCCGCCGGAAAGCACCGCGGGTCCCGATGCGACCTCGCTCGTCGCCGCCCCGGTGTCTTTGTCGGTGATGCCCTGTGGTTGACCATGGGCCGCAGAGGCGGTCCTTGGCCCCGCCTGCCTTGCTTGTTGCGACCTGTCCGTCGCCGCCCCGGAGCCCTGTGGTGGGCGACCTCCATGGCTTGTGTACCAATGGTCGCCGCCCAGCGGCCGCGGGCCTCCCCCTCCCTGCCTCCTGTTCTGACGGGGTGCCCGCCGGTTGGTGCTCTATCTGGCCACGCGCAGAAGGGGGTAGGGGGAGGGGGGAAGGCTTCTGAGAGGCACCCCTGCTTCTTAGAGGGCGCGGGCCTTCTTCGTAGATGCGAGGCCGGCGCCTTCTCAGAAGCAGCCTCCTTCTAAGAAGCCTTCCCCCCTCCCCCTACCCCCTTGTGCGCGCCCCCAACGTATGGTCGCCGCTCAGAGGGTCACGGGTCTCGATGGCCTCTGTGGTTGCGCTGCGACGTCTTTGGTCGCTGCTCGCTCTGCGGTCCCGCGGCCGGTGTCCCGCTGCTGCCGCTCCGTGGTCGAGGCCTTCTGCGGCCGGCGGAGCTGGAGGAGCAGGAAGCAGGAGCTGGGGGGGACAGACGGCGAAGGGGCAAGGCGAGGCGGGAGAGGGGGAGGAGGATGGATGAGCAGCAGGAGGAGGAGGAGCAGGAGGAGGAGGAGGAGGAGGAGGAGGAGGAGGAGGAGGAGGAGGATGGATGAGCAGCAGCAGCAGGAGGAGGAGGAGGAGGTTGAGCAGGGGAGGTGGGATGGTAGGAGGAAGGAGGAGGGAAAGGCTGGGGAGGGAGGAGAGACGAGGCGCGCTGGAGGAAAATGACGAGCGGGGGAAACAAGGAGAACCCTCGAGGAGTATAAGGGAGGATGGGGGAAGAGGTGGAGACCAAGGAGAAAGAGATGACCCAAGAGAAGGGTACTGGGGACAACGGAGGAGGAATGATTGGAGGAGCTCGTGCTTCCCCAACCAGAGCCTCGCGGGAATATTCGGGGGACTGGCTGGAGCCTTCCATTCTGGAGGGCGCACTTCTTCGTCCTCCTTCATACCCTCTTTGGGCCCTGGGCCGCCCTCACAGCCCCCTAGAATCCGGCTTGAGCCGGCCGAGCCCCTGATGGCGCCCCCAGATTTCCTTGAGCCTGAGAGCCCATCCCCCTCCTCATTCTCGCCCTCCTCCTCCTCCTCCTCCTCCTCCTCCTCCTCCTTCTCCTCCTCCCCGTGGCCACCCTCAGGGGTGCTTCGACTCCTCGCCCATCGGGGGCGTCGACCTGAACGGATACGACTGCGAGGTGCTGGAGGGGCCCTTCGTCGACGAGTCCATCTTCTGCGGGCACGAGTTCGACGACACGGACTTCACCGCGCTGGACATGTGCTGCATCTGTGGCGGCGGGGGCAAGCAGGCGGTCGGCCCCTCCGCTTCACTCGCGCCCCGTGCCAGCCCTCCTCCCCGTGCCCTCTCCCGCGGAGCCGTCGCCTCCGCCTCTCGCGCTCGGGCTCGCCACGCTGCGTGGGCCCGCTGTGGCCACGCGCGCGCAACTTTCGACCATGCAGCCGAGAGGTCGGCCACATGGGCCACGATGGTCTGTCCATGCAGATTGGTCGCGGGGCCCAGGATTCCAGACCTCACCCTCGCGCCGTGGCTCTGCGCGTCCCTGCAGGAGGGAGGTTCCGGCAGGAATCCAACCATGGAAGCGGCCCTCTGCTCCCAGAACGGCACGTCTGGACAGCCATGCCGAACTACAGTCGAGCCGGATTAGTAGGCCGACCCTGCCAAATCAAGGGTACCCTGGTGTCCTGTGCGTCGCGACCCGTGCCTCCTAGATTCAAATGGCAAGGTGGCCCTCGGCAGAGTCTTGTGTCCTCTCGCGTGTCCTCTTCAATCCACCCCGACTGTAGGTCTCGGGCCGGACGAAAGGGGGGGATTGGGAAAGGGTTACGAAATTTGCTGCATGCAGCTGGTTTCGGCCTCACCGAGGGGCCCATTCCTCGATACACAGCCGCCTCTGGCGCCGGGAGGCGCCGGGAGAATCAGCTCCGTGAGCTGATTCTCAAACCCCCCCTTTGCTATCCCCCCCCTTTCGCCCGACCCGAAGGTCGGAGCCAGCGGTGATGGCACCTTTGCGTCCTACGTCTCCCCGTCTGCTGCGCGGTTTCCCTGGCCGTGCCGCCCATCGTGGATGCTGCGGGGTGGCCCTGGAGGAGCGGGCGTGCAGGGTCGAGCGCTCTCCGCCAGCGGCCTGTAAGCGTCGGCCGGCGTCGAACGACCTGCGCCGTCGGACGGCCGCGATTACCAGGAGGGGAAAAAGCACACAGAGACACAATGAATCCTCGATTCCCAGAAAAGTACGGGAAACTATGGGAAGTGGGGGGGAAGACCGAAACCCAGAAAACATGGGGGAAAAGATGGGGAATCATTTTATTGGTGTGTATTTATTTGTGTGTCCTGGGGCCCCTTGAGTCGAACGATCTGCGCAGTCGGAAAGCCGCGATGAATGCAAGATGGAGGACCCGCGCGGTGTCAGAGAATCAGCGCCGATGTCATCGCGGCGTGGACCTGCCGTAGTTGGTGTCCTCCAGAAGCCTCCCCCGGGCGCAGCTCGTGCACCCGCCCCGCCCAGACGTACACGGCAACAACGTCAACGCGCACCTCGACGGCGCCTCAGAAGACCCCGACCCGTCGATCGGGCCGCGGGCAAGAGGAAGAAGCTGAAGAGGCGTGCAAGATGAGGATGACGGCGGCGGAATCGCCTGGTTTGTTCAGTCTTGTTCCCTTTACCATTGTGTGGCGCCCCGCTTTTTCGTAGTTTTTCTGGGCCGTGGGGGGTAGTGCTCTACTGTTCTCGTGTTGGTTTCTGATGTTTTGTGTGTGTGTGTGTGTCTCGGGGGGGCGGGGGCAGCACTCTCACCCAGAAAAACCGCCAAACTTTCGGAAACGTGTTCTGGGACTGCAGGACAAGAAGTGCACGGATGACGGGGCAGAAGACGACGAGGATGGAGGAAAAGAGATCGTTCTGCCACAGATCTTGAGCCTGTTAAGACCCTGTTGAGCCAAGTCCATTCAAACACTTACGAATCATGTCTTCGATGTGTGTCAGCGTTTGCCACACACAGTGAGTTGTGGCATTCTAGATGTGAAGTCTGCGTGCTGCAATCTATGATATGGTAGCTGCGTGGTGCAATCGTCTATAATTTGCAACTTCATGTGGCAATCGACGTAATGCGAATTATGTAGTGCAATATATATATATATGTATATATATAGATGTATCAATATATATATATATATATATATACATATATATATGTGTGTGTGCAAGTTGTGGGGCGCAGTCTATACGGCGCAGCGTGTGGAGTGCAATCTACGTGAGGCAGGCTATGGGACGCAGTCGCGCGGTGCAATCTATGTGGTGGAACTAGCTCTTGGCATCCGCGCCTGACCACCTCCCATGCTAGAGCAAACATTCCACCCATCCGCCCGCAACTAGTCGGCAAGCCCCACGAGGGCGGGATTGAAATTACAGATCCGGACTTCCGCGCAATCCCAGCAGGTGCCATGACACACGGACCCTGCTCGTGCAGATCCATGGTTCGGGCTGGCGAGTGATTCTGACGGATGACGTAGCGTGCAGGATGTTACTGGGGTGCGTGCGGGTGCGCGATGATTCTGCGCGTTGCCCCCACGGTCTCCTTCGGCGGAGTGTTGCCACAACGATGGTATCCTCGTCATGTCAGCGAGTGCGTGCGTGCATAGTCCGGACATGGCTCACATAGATCGAACCGATGGTTTGAACTAGCTCGTGTCCACGTGCATTCTGCACAAGTGTTCATGTCAGGAGTTCGGCACGCGCGCCCGCGCGTGACCCCCGAGGGGTTTCTAGAGACGCGCTGGTTAGAACAACGCCTGGCCCCTTCATGCTTTTGCCAAGGGATTCTGGGCGGGGTGGGGGCGCAGCCCCCTCGCCACCGAGGGGCGCGGCGCCGCTCCCGCGGGCAGTCGCTCCGGTGGAGCGACACGGCGGCCTGGGAGGCGACGGGCCCTGGCTGGCCCAGAGCCCAGGGAGGGACGCGGCGAGGCCGGGACGTGTGAGACGCAGCGTGTGCGCAGCGTGGGCCTGGAAGAGGTGAGGAGCAGTTTTGGTCTGCGGGGCGAGAGCGAACCTCTTCCGCTAAAACCTCTTCCGAGGGAGGAACCTCTTCCGCTAGAAGCTAGGCGGGCGACGCACAGCTTTACTCAGGGAGACGGGGCGCACGAGAGGTGAGGAGCAGGCGGGGGCCCAGAGGAGGAGCAAAGGGGGGGGGCGGGGGAGCAGACCCCACGGGCCAGCCCCTGGCCAGGTACGTACGGCTCGCGGCGCCGGGGAGGCGGCGCTGCCCTTTGGATCAGCGCAGGGGCGGAGAGGCAAAGACACCGCCCACGCAGCCCGGCCGTGGCGCAGAAGTCACGGACACGGCCCGCAGGCTCTCAGGCCTCGGTGGTGCAGCGACCTCGACGCTGCAGCACTCTGGGCCACGAGGGGGGCGCACGGCGGGGGCGCCACTGCGAACAGGGACCATCCATGTCGAGCAGGCATCCGCCCCCAGTCCCAAGCTGCGGGGGGTCTTGAAGTCCTTCGAACCCAACGGTTTCGAACAGACCCCGGCGCGCGCGTGGCGGCGCCCGCATGTGGCCCGCATCGTTTGTAAAAAACAAATACATAAACAAATTATATAAATAAGATACGGCTTCATGCGCAGCGCGCATGCTTGATCAACGCGGGTGCACCGCGTGTGGTGCGAGGAAACTGTGATGGGCGTGTTTTCCACCACCACCACCACCGCCATAAGTTGGAAGGGGGAAGGAGGGGGAGGAGGAGGAGGAGGAGGAGGAAGAGGAGGAGGAGGGGGCCCCCTCCCCCTCCTATTTATGGTGGTGGTGGTGGAAAGCAAGCCCACCAAAATGTATGTTTTGAACGGGATTGTTACCACCGTACGTGTTCAACTATTTCAGCACATGCGCGCCAGCAGCACAACTGCAAGATCATCCAGGTGCGACAGCTGTTGCTGTACGGCTGTCACATCGGTGTGCTTGCATACGTACTGTACTGCTGTGTTTTGCATGGTTTGGGCATGCCCGCGCGCGTGTCGATTATGTTGTATGTTTCTCAAGGGCTTCTTGCAAACTTATGCTTTGAGATAAACGAGTGTGCGCGCATGGTATTGTTTGACAGGGGTGACGGGGGGTCCCATACAAGTGTCTGGCTTTGACGTCATGGTCTCACGTGCAAAATGAGCGATGAGGCAGAACAAATATGTAAACTGCAAAGCGAGAGGGACCCAGCTGGTGCACAGAGTCAACGGCGAGCGAGGGTGGGAAGCGAGAAGGAGAAGGTCATCTCTTCGACTACACGTGAGAGTGAACATTCGCCAGAGTGACCTTTGGTGCGGGCCCAAAGGGGTTCCCCGATCGCCGAACTCGATGCGGTAGTAGCGCTTTGCGGGCTTTTGTTCGGTCCCCTCGCGACCCTCAAAAAGCCGCGCACCAAAGGTGACTCTTACCCAGGGTCACTCTTGCGTATAGTCGATCTCTGAAGGCGGCGGGGCTTCTCAGGAGCCCCCGCGCCTTCTGAGAGGTTGCCTGCGTGCTGCGGGGAGGCTCAGAATATCAGGCGATCGCAAACATGGGTCAGGGGGGCGTGGATTCGCGACGGGTCCCGCTTCCATGGGGAATCGAGGATGTCCACCGCCGAACGAGGCGGCACTCAGCCGCACTCTGGGGAGGGCACCGCCCCTCATCCATGGACGTGGCGACCGCGCGCTCCGCGCGGTGAAGCCATGGATCGCTAATCCCTGCTTGCGCGTCCCCGAGAAGAGCCTCTCGCGGGGCCGGGGGGGCCTACTCCGAGCCTTCCCAAGGAGGCCCGCCCCTCCTCGCTCCCCCCCCCCGGGCTCGCCCCGGCGACAGGGCGGGCTTTTTCGGCCGTGGAGGGGCGGGCAGCGAATATGAGAGCTCGGGCCAGCCGGGCAGCGCCGATACGGGGCCACGTGCGAACCCTACCCCTACCCCCCACGATTTCTGAGGGGGAGGGTGGGGTTCACTTCGCTCGGGAGCTCCCGAAAGGAGTGAACCCCACCCCTCCCCCTCAGAAGTCGTGGGGGGCAGGGGCAGGGTTCGCGTGTGGCCCCCCAGAAGAGCTGGGCAGCGAGGGGGCACCGGGCGAGACGGGCGGGGACCTCTCCCCGCCAGCCAGCGCACGGAGCGGGCGCGAGGCTGCCACGGGGGGGCCCAGCGCGCGAGGACCCGCGGAGCCCACCCGGCTCCGCACGTCCAGTGGCCCAACCGGGGGGGGGGAGCAGAACGACAAGCACGAAGAGGCGACGACTCCCCCTCCTCCTCCTCCCCCTCCTCCTCCTCGTCCTCCTCCTCCTCCTCCTCCTCCTCCTCCTCCTCCTCCTCCTCCTCCTCCTCCTCCCTCTTTTCCTCCTCCTCCTCCTCCGCAGCAGCAGCCATTTTGGCTCAAGACAGGATGAACAAGTGGCATGGAGGAGCAAAAGTGCCAATCTCCACAGGGCATCTGAAGAGATGTTGGGGGTCCTGGGGGAGTGGTGCCTCTCTGTTTGTGTGTCCCTGGGCCCCCTCCGCCCGATCCGCGCAGATTTTTTTTTCCGCACGGCTCCGGGCCGCGAGCAGGCCGAGGGACCCACAGGTCGGACGGGGGCCTTGGACGAGGACAGCTCCGCCCCGGAGAGCTCGGGAGCGCTTTCGGAGCGTTCGCGAACGCTCATGCCCCTGCTCCTGCTCCTGCTCCTCTTCCTGCCCCTGCTCCTGCCCCTGCTCCTGCTCCTGTGTTTGCTCCTGCTTCTGCTCCTGCTCCTGCTCCTTCTGCTGCTCCTGTTCCTGTTCCTGCCCCTTCTCTCGATGCGTCCTCCAGAGCCGCCAGATCTCAGAGATTCTCAACTTCTCCGCGCCCGAATTTGGCCTCGCTCTGACTTCATCCTCGTAGGACTCGACCCTGCCGCTCGTCCAGCCGGCCTGTCGATTGGGCTTGCGATCGGCGGGCGGCCGTTCGGGAGATCGGCACCCTGGGCCATCAGGTGCGTTGTGAGTTGCAGGCCAGCCGCGGGGCTCCGGATCAGGATCGGCACCGGGCCTCTGTCAGGAGGGGAAAAACACACACAGACACAATTAATCGTCGATTCCCATGAAAATATGGGAAAACATGGGAAGTGGTGGGGAAGACAAAAACTAGGAAAATATGGGAAAATATGGGGAATCCTTTTTATTTGTGTGTATTTATTTGTGTGTCCTTGGGCCCCTTGACTCTGATCAGCACCATAAACAGCAGTGGCGAGGCGTCCTGGCTCGCCTGTAGGCCCACCAAAGACTGCCCCCCCACCGACCGTTTGTGGTCTTCACGGAATGTTCTTAGGACATTTCTGGCTGAGACCCTCTTGTTGTGGCACATCGGGCTCCTGTGCTAACAACCTTGTTCGTGCTCGTAGAGTCACTTTTGGGTTCTTGGAGATTTTCGTGGTAGGCTCACAGGAATGCCAGGACGGCCAGTCCCTGCTCAACTTCAGGAGCAGGAGGAGGAGGAGGAGCAGGAGCAGGAGCAGAAGGAGGAGGAGTAGGAGCACGAGGAGGAGGAGCAGGAGGGGGACGATGAGGAAGAGGAGGAGGAGGAGGAGAAGAAGGAGGCGGAGCAGGAGAAGGAGGAGGAGCAGCAGGAGGAGGAGGAGGTGTGTTGGCTCAATGTGTGTGTGGTGTTGATCAGAGCTCTGCGGGCAGCGTGTTGCCGGTGCTGGCCCTCTCAGTGCACCGCCTGCGCCGAGGGCTTCGTGAAAGTTTGGGGCCCAGAGATGAACGCGTCGTAATAAAATCAGGACGGCAAGTTTTTCCTTTTTTCGGCCCCGGGGGGCCCTCGCCTGGCCTCGGGTCCGTCAAAGCGATTCAGGATGAAGAACCTGCCCTGGGGAAAGGGTCTGAATTTCCAGGGACGCCGTCCTTACAAGATCAGGACGTCGCATGTCTGGTGGCGCACGCGCACGTTGGCCCCAACGCGCTCGGAGGATCACCGAATCGGTGGGTGTCGCTCGGACGCGCGTCGAAGAAGAAGAAACGCCATAGACATACACTTTTGGCGCTTCACGCGGATTTCTTGGATCCGCGCTGGGCCCCCTGGGCCCCTGGCGCGCTCCGCGCGCCAGGGGGGGGGGGGCACAGCGCAGATCCACAAAATCTGCGCGGAGCGCCAGAAGTTTATGCTTGTGGCGTCTTGTTTTTCTTCCAGCGTGGGTGTTGCTTTCTTTGTGCGTTTCGTTGCGGGTCCTCGCGCTCGATCTCTCTGCCCATGCAGAAGTTGCAAGCTGCGCTGCGGCGCTGTGGGGAGCTCGAGTGCCTCGTTACCCACGCGCGGGCAATAACAAAAAATCAGCACGCGCACGGAAGCCGCGCCCGAGCGACGGCAGGATCGGGGGGAGAGGGCCTTACTTCGGGGAGCCTCCCCAGACACGATCGCGTCGTAATAAACTCAGGGCGGCACGTTTTTTCCTTTATTTTCGGCCCCCGCGCCGCGGGGGGGCCCTCGCCGGGCCCCGGGAGCGTCCAGAATCGACTCGGGATGAAAAACCGGCCCCGGGGAAAGGGTCTGGACTTCGGGGACGCCGTCTTTGTACAATTTCAGGACGTCGTATGTCTGGCTCTCGAAGGCACATCGACATCCACTTACGGAGGTCCGCGCGGACGCCGTGGGTTGGCGCTGGGCCTTCCTGGGCCCTCCAGGGGGCGGGGTTTCCAGTGCCCACCCAAGCTGTCTCTGCGTGGACCTTTCAAAGCCCATGTTTATGTCTGTGTCTGCTTTTCTGCACCGAGCTTCTGATCACCACCGCGGCGGCGCTTCTAAGGGTATCAGTTACTACAACGACTCGCACTACGGGCACCCACACGACAACCCTCACCGCGACAACAGGCACTGGCTCGACCACGGAAAGCACGACGTCCGCCACGACTTCGACGAGCACAACTGGGAGCTCCAGCACGACTTTGACGAGCACCACTTCTGCGACAACCTTCACAATGACTTCCAGCACGTCGATAACGACTGGAACGAAGACAAGTATCACCACCGCGACGAGCACGTCCGAGACAAGCACTGTTACTTTCCTGACGTGCGAGGGCAAAACACCTGTCAAAGAATGGATCCCAAGGACGGCGCTTCCCGCATATTTGCGATGTCAAGGAACGTGGAGTGTGAGTGGAGGCAGATACTCCAGAATGACTGAGCTGCACGAGAGGTGGTTGACGTTGGGCTCCAGATTCGACACTTACCGCCTTCAAGTAGCATTGTGCAGTTGCACCTTGAACGCCACTCTTTCCGTGGGTCTGGAGAGTACAAAGGGGCAAGGAACGACCAGATCCATGCAAGGGTTCTGGCCAGCTGTTTCCATGGTAGGTTCAGTCCTCCTTTGGGTACGAATGCATCGACCATCCGAGCGCCCCAGCTGAGCTCCAAGCCGACCTGGAGAGGCTCCCAAAGCAACATCCGAAGGCGTGGGAAGGGCCAAGAACGCCTTCAGATAACCCAGGAGGCCCCCGAGAGGCCCCCAGAGGCCCCCACGTTGCCCCAGGATGCCCACAAATAGGCCCTCAGGAGGCACAAAGAAGACCCCAAGAGGCCTTCAACAGGCCTCGTTGCTCTTCTCCCCTTCGTCCTCCTTCTCCTCCTTGTCTTTCTCTACTGCTCCTCTCCCTCTTCCTCCCCCACTGTGCCCCCAAGGATGTCCACAACGGTTGGGGGAACGCGCAGCTCAATAGTTTGCCAGACCTTGGCACGTTCGGCCACATAGGTGTAAAAAGAAGGCTAGGGGCGGCGGTGATTCGTCGTGGGCGTCTTCGAGAAGTAGCAAGTCGGCTCCCGTGCGCCCCCCTGCAAGCCCTTGGGAGGCGATGCATCCATGGTCAAGTGGCCATCGGCCCATTCTGCCACCGCGCATGTGTCGTGGGCCAGAGGCCTCCTGGGGGTCGCTTGGGCGGCCTCTTCGGGGCCTCCCCGATGCCTCCAGGAAGGCCTCCTCGGTGCCTCTTGGGGGCCTCTCGGGGGCCGGAGGAGGAGGAGGAGGAGGCGGAGGCGGAGGAGGAGGAGGAGGAGGAGGAGAAGAATAAGCAGGGGGATGATGATGATGATGATGATGATGATGATGATGATGATGATGATGATGATGATGATGATGATGATGATGATGATGATGATGATGAGGAGGAGGAGGAGGAGGAGGAGGAGGAGGAGGAGGAGGAGGAGGAGGAGGAGGCGGAGGAGGATAGGAGGAGGATCTCCTGGGGGCCTCCTGGGAGCCTCCTGGGCGGCTCGCCTCTGGCGTCCGGTCCCCAGCGCCCAGCCGCCGCGCCCGTCGTCTGGGCCCCCCCCCTGCTGCCTGCGGAGGGAGGGCCCCGCTGGCCGCGCGGGCGCCCCGCCGCGCGGGCCCGCGGGTAGGCCACCCCCCCCAGTCGGTTGCCCACCCTCGTTCTCTTGGTGCCCGTCCTCCTCGGTGCGCTCGGCAGCGGCTCGGGGGCCGTGTCGGAAGGCCTCCGCTGGCGGCTCTCTTGCCTCGGGCCGCAGCCGCGCCACGGAGGGTCGCCCGGGGGGGGCACCGCGCCGTGGCCTCGCGGCGCAACCTGGCCGCCTGCTCCAGGACGGGGAGGAGGACCAGGTCCGAGCGAGGAGGAAGACGACCAGGAGGAGGAGGAGCAGGAGGAGTGGGAGGAGGAGGAGGAGGAGCAGGAGGAAAGGGATGATGATGATGATGATGATGATGATGATGATGATGATGATGATGATGATGATGATGATGATGATGATGATGATGATGATGATGATGATGATGATGATGATGATGATGATGATGGTGGTGGTGGTGGTGGTGGTGGTGGTGGTGGTGGTGGTGGTGTGATGATGATGATGATGATGATGCTGCTGCTGCTGCTGCTGCTGTGATGATGATGATGATGATGATGATGATGATGAGGAGGAGGAGGAGGAGGAGGAGGAGGAGGAGGAGGAGGAGGAGGAGGAGGAGGAAGAGGAAGAGGAGGAGGAGGAGGAGGAGAGAGGAGGAGGAGGGGAGGAGGAGGAGGAGGAGGAGAGGAGGAGGAGGAGGAGGAGGAGGAGGAGGAGGAGGAGGAGGAGGAGGAGTAGGACTAGTAGGAGGAGGAGAGGAGGAGGAGGAGGAGGAGGAGGAGAAAAAGGAGGAGGGGAGGAGGAGGAGGAGGAGAAACGGCACTGGCACGAGGAGGGCGAACGGCAGCATGAGGAGGAGGAGGAGAAGGAGGGGAAGTACTCTCCCCCACTTGGTACTGCAGTGGACTGGGTTACTCTCGCCCTGTCGGCCCAGTATTGTTTGCTCTTCTCTGTGCCCGACCTTCGCTGCACCCGTCCGCGGCATAACTGGTTCGCTCTCCTTCCGCCTGAGTCGGCGGCGTGCTTCCCTACAGGACGCAACAGGCGCAGTCTTCCTGTTTGGCCGGCGCCAAAGGAGGAGCAGAGGCAGCAGGACGAGGAGGGCCAGGCCAGGGAAGGAAAGGACGAACAGGAGGAGGAGGAGGAGGAGGAGGAGGAGGAGGAGGAGGAGGAGGAGGAGGAGGAGGGGGAGGAGGAGGAGCAGAGGCAGCAGGACGAGGAGGGCCCGGCTGGGGGCGGAAAAATGGCGCGGCGGGCGAGGCAGAGGGCGACCGCGCGGAGGCGGGCCAGAGAAGCGGCCGCGCGGCGCTGGCGCGCCGGCGGCGCCCGCCCGGCCATCCCCGGCGAAGGGCGGGGGGGCCAAGGGCGGCGGCCGCGCCGTCGCCCGCAGAGGGCGGCCCCGCGCCCCCCACAGGACCTTCAGCGTGGTCCTCGACGCAGGCGGGGCGGGGCCGCGGGCGCCGGGGGGAGGATCGGGCCGGGCGAAAGGGGGGGATTGGGAAAGGGGGGGTGACGAAATCTGCTGCATGCGGCCGGTTTCGGCCTCACCGAGGGGCCACTTCCTCGATGCATGGGCGCCTCCCGGCGCCGGGAGGCGCCGGGGAAATCAGCTACATGAGCTGATTCTCAAACCCCCCCTTTGCTATCCCCCCTTTCGCCCGACCCGAGAGGAGGGGCAGGTCAAGGGCGCTCCAGAGACGGGGGTCGATGCAAACGGGGGTCAGCCAGAGCGCCGGCTCCTGCAGGATCCTGCAGGGCCGGGGGTGCACTGGCCCGCGCCTGGGCGCAGGATCCTGCAGGGAAGCTGCAGGATCTTGCAGGATCCGGCAGGGCCTGACTGACCCGGGTTTAGCTTGACCCGGGCCAGTACATCCCCAGGGCAGGTTGGAGGACGCGCAATCGGGGGACGATACATTGGGGGTGCAGCGAGGGCTGCTGAAAAGGGGCCTTCTAGGGCCCCTCAAGGGGCCCTTTAAGGCCCAAGAAGGGGCCGTTGGGGCCCGAAGCGGGCAACGTTCCCCCCTCCAACTATAGCACCCCATTGATTCGCGGCCAGAGGAGGAAGACGAGGAAGAGGCTTCTAACCGCCACGCGATGGTGGCGTGTCTGAAGCTTCGCGCGGTGCCCTCCACAGGCACCCACGATCTCTCGATTTGTCCCTCCGTTCGGCCGACCACGACCGCGTAACGTACATGCCCATGATGTCTTTCGCTGACCCTGTGATGCTTCGCTTTTCTCTCAGGCAACCTTGCGACGGCTTGCAGCATTTGGGGGGAGGAGGGGAAGGAGCAGGAGCGGGAGGAGGTGGAGGACGGGCAGGAGAAGGACAAGTGTACACCCTAGACTCATCAGCGATGTTGCAATACAACCCTCCCTACAAGATCCCTCATCATCGGTCCCTACAAGCGTGAATTCGTACTGAAGGGGGTGCCCCGTTGAAGGATAGCAGTTTGAAAACCTAAGCAATGTCAAACCCCAATTCTTGTGACTTCAGCGCCGCGAATCAATGTTACTGTTGAGCCTTGACGAATCCTGTGTCGCGTCAACGCAGGGAACCAAGGTGTCTGCGGCGCCCTGACAGTCCCACATTGTGCCAGAGCACCATTTCTGGGACGTCAGTCATAAGAATCCTTGAAACTGGTGTAGACCCGTCAGACGAATACACGACGCGCGGAGGCGAGAGCCACATTTTGAAAGGAAACGCCCTCCATCCTTGAATGCTGGCAAACTTTCAAAAAACAAACTATGCGCGGCGCCAAAGCGAGAGCCACATGTTGAACACCGCCCACCCTCCCTCCGTGAACGAATGTGCGCGGTGCGAAGGCGAGAACCATATTTTGATAACAGCCTGCCCTCTATCCGTGAAACTGTTTCAACTCTTAAGCTTAGGACCATCTATTGTGCAACAGTCCCAGGCGCAATGCCAACTGAACCTACTGACAAGGTTCGGGTTGCGACAGGAAGAATTTACTTCTCAGGAAGAGGAATGGATGAGGAGGAGGGGGAGGAGGAAGAACAAGGGGGAAGAGGAGGAGGAGGAGGAGGAGGAGAAGGAGGAGGAGGTCGTCGACGACGACGACGAAGACGACGACGACGACGGCGGCGCTGGCGGTGGCGACAGCTGCGATTCCAGCGACGGCAGCGGCCGAGAGGTCCGGCGGCAGTGGAAGCGGCGGCGGTGACATCGACGTCGTCCGGGGCGGTCTCTCGGCACTCCGTCGCCTTCGGTGCTGCTGCGCCTTCCGATGGCGCTCCGCGCCCTTGGGTCGGGCCCCCCGTTCGCGGAGGCCTCCCCGGGCTGCCCAGGATCCCTGTTGAGTGAGGAAGCGCGTTGAGTGGGCACGTGGAGGAGGAGGAAGAGGAGGAGGAGGGCGAGGCGGAGGCGGAGGCGGAGGCGGAGGCGGAGGCGGAGGAGGAGGAGGAGGAGGGGAGGAGGAGGAGGAGGAGGAGGAGGAGGAGGAGGAGGAGGAAGAGGAGGAGGAGAGGAGGAGGAGGAGGAGGAGGAGGAGGAGGAGGAGGAGGAGGATGCGGGGGAGGAGGAGGAGGAGGAGGAGGAGGAGGAGGAGGAGGAAATTGAGGAGGAGGCGGGGGGAGGAGGAGGAGGAGGAGGGCGATGAGGTGGAGGGGTAGGGTGTGCAGAGGCGTGGGGAGGAGGGAGGAGCAGGATCGGAAGGATGAGGGGAAAGATGAGGATGAGGAGGAGGAGGAGGAGGAGGAGGAGGAGGAGGAGGAGGAGGAGGATGAAAGGAATGAGGAGGGGGAGGAGAAGGGGGTGAACGAGGAGGAACGAGCAGGAGCGAGCAAGAGGCGGAAGAGGAGGGAGAGGAGGGAGAGGAGGGTGTCCAGTGCGCAGGGGCAGGGAGGCGGGGGCTGTCTCGGGCGTGGCAGGCGCGATCACGGACGTCACTGGCAATGGCAACAGCGCGGTGGCCTCGTACACCTTCTCGCACGACAACGTCCCGCCCTCGTTCCTACCAGCCTCCTCGCACCCACTCCCGGGGAGCGCCGAGCAGGCGACCCGCCCGGGAAGAGCACAGGAGCAGCGTGACGAGGCAGGAGGAGTCCGACCGCGGCGCCGCGCGATGCCGCCTCCGCGACCGGGCGGGCACGCATGACGAGAGGGGGGGGCGGGAGGCCGGGGGCCGGGCGGGAGGGGGGCTTCGGGAGCCTCGAGACGGGGGTCAATGCAAACGGGGGTGAGCCAGAGCGCCCCGACCTTGCAGGATCCTGCAGGGCAAGGGTCGCATTGACCCGGGTTTGGGTGCAGGATCCTGCAGGATCTTGCAGGATCCTTCGCATTGACCCGGGTTTGGGTGCAGGATTTTGCAGGATTTTGCAGGCCTGATTGACCCGGGTTTGGATTGACCCGGGTCAGAAGATCCCCGAGGGCTGGGTGGGCAGGGGCTGCGCGGGAGGGAATTCGGGGGGGGGCGGGCTCGACCTGAACGGTGTGTTTTGGCGATCTCGTGGACCGCTTCCTTTTCGGCCCCGCTCTGGAGCACTGGGCGGCACGAAGACAGTACGGGACGCGAAAACGACCACAGCCACTGCTCTTCTGTTGTTGCCGCCTTCCGGCCAGCAGATACAAAGCTGTGGTTGTGGTCATTTTCGTTAAGCTCGGCATGAGGGAAATGACCACAACCACTGCTCCTTTTTCGGCCGGCTGGAAGGCGGCGCAAACAAGAAGCAGTGGCCGTGGTCATTTTCCCGTCCCGCAGACAGACAGCACCGGGGGGAAGACGAGAGCGAGCCGACAACGGGAAGCACTGCGTCGTGGGCCGAGCTCTGGGGGAGCGGGGTCCTGGGGCCAAGGATTGCAACAAAAAACCCGAAGGATTGCAAACAAAAAAAACCCAGGATTGCAAAAAAAACCAAGGATTGCAAAAAAAACCCGAAGGATTGCAAAAAAACACCCTCGAACGAAGGATTGCAAAAAAACCCGAAGGGTTTTTTGCAATCCTTCGATCGCGTCGGCCAAACCTCATCGTTTGGGGCACGGTCTGGGGCTCTCGGGCAGCGCGCGGCCCCGCCGGCTCCTCCGGCCCACCGCGCCGCGGCGCGGCACCGCCCCTTCGCGCCGGGGCCCTCCGCCGTCCACGCCCCGAGCTGCTCCGATCCCCCCCCCGCCCCTTGGCATCGCTCCGACGTGTGCATTTTTCTTCCGACGAGGACCATCGAGGAGCATCCTTGATCATCTGGCGAAAAAGCCACGCACGAAACCGAACAAAAACACAGGGAATGGATGTCCGAGCGATGGCCAGTCCCCCCGCCCCGCGGAGAGGAGCGGCACGCGATCCGCTCGCATGGCAACGGCACGGCGTGTCGCAGGGACCGGGGGGCGCGACACGCCAGGCAAGAGTTCCTGATCGTACAGTCAACCCGCCGCGTCGCAAGGAGGAGCAACTCTCCAAGGCTGCCCTCGCATCCTTCCCCTTATGGGCATCCTTGGCCGCCCTCGCCGGCCGCGTCCCGCCCGCAGAGTGTCGGCATGGCCCTCCAAGGCCCTTGCATCCTTGTCGTGCGTCCTCCTCGTACGGATGGAGTGCAGCAGACTGAGTGCACTGCAGGCGACCGCTCTGGAGAGCTTGCTTCTCTACTTCAGCGAGGACGTGGCGGCGGGCGCGGGGTGCATCGAGATCTGGGAGGAGGGCAACGCGATCGGCCCGGCCTTCCTGATCGACGTGGTCGACGTCGACAAGGCAGGGCTCATCTCGATGCCTCCGATTCGATCCGCTTCGACTTCGGATTCTGATTAGGGCCCCGATTTTTCAACGGAGGCCTTACCAGCCTGCCGATTTCCGCCGATCCGACTTTTCGCGACTGGGCTGCCGATGTCCGCCGATCCGATTCGTTTCGATCGCTGGGTCGACTTGGCGATTCGATTCTGGGCTCTCTCCTGACAAGGTCTCCATCAATTCGGCGTTGTCTTTCCTGCGGGACGCGCGTGTCGTCGTGACGCCGAAGGCCCTGTGCTCCACGAGCTCGACCTGCGAGGACCTGGCCGTCGGGACGACGTACTACCTGGCCACGAGCAACCCTGGAGTACTCATGGACGCCGAGTTCAACCAGCTGCCGCAGCTGAACACCAGTGGGCTCTGGGCGTTCACGGTCGGCAGCGGAGCGGACGCGCCGCCGCCAGAGGTGGTCTTCGTGGCCGGGAGCGACGCGAGCGGTGGCGTGTTGACCGGCTACTTGCAGTTCAGCCGGCGCGTGTGGGCCAACCCCAGCGGTGGGAATCTGACCATCACCGATTGCGGGGGCGACCTCGACTGCCTCGCCGAGGGCGACAACTTCCTCGCCGCCGAGGTGGCCCCGGAGAGCTGCGTGTACGGAGACGGGTCCACGCCACAGCTCAGCTACGGCATCGTGAAGTTCGTGGTCTCGGTGCCGACGGATGGCCGGCGGTACTCAGGAGGAAAAGAAACACACAGACACAATTAATCCTCGATCCCTAAGAAAATATGGGAAGTGGGGGGGAAGACAGAAACCCAGAGAATATGGGAAAATATTGGGAATATTTCTATTTGTGTGTATTTATTTGTGTGTCCTGGGGCCCCTTCAGGTACCTCGTCAGGGTGGGCGCGAACATGGTACAGGACGACCCCGGCGCAGACCGCCTTGACGTGCAAAGGTTTGGCCCGCATGGGTACTACGAGTACGAGGTGGACGCGGGCCTCGATCCGGGCCCCGCCTTGGACGCGGCCGCCTCCCACCCCGCGCACGGCGACAGCGACGTGGCGACGACCGAGAACGTTATCCTCGCCTTCAACCAGGCGGTGCGCTTCGGCCGCAACGGCACGCTCGAGCTCTGGGACGCAGCAGACAGCTCCGGGGCAAAGCTCGTGGTCAACGTCCTAGACCTTGCGGCGTCTGACGCCAGCCGCAGCTTCATCTCTGGCAGGCACGTTCACATCACGCCGAGGACGCTCTGCCCAGCAGCACCTAATTGCCCAGATCTTGAGGCTGGCGTGACCTACTACTTGCGGACCTCTGTGTCGGGTGTGCTGCTGGACGACCAGGATCGTGAGTTACCAGTGCTGAACACATACGAGAATTGGTCTTTCACAACAGCATCTTCGGCATCGTCAGACTTAACGCCACCCGAGGTGGCATATTTTGGTGGATACACGGAATCTACATCTACCTTCGTGGGCTACGTGTATTTTACAGATGGGCTTGCCTCGCTCACCGACGACTTAAAATTCATGGACTGCGGTGCGGACCATGATTGTGAGACATGGGCGGACAACCGGTACGTGGAGCTCGATGCAAGCACGCTTAACGCTTCTATCAGCGGTGGCTTGTGGGAGAGCGGCCTTCTGAGCTATTCCGTTGAGCTGCCGACCATCAACCGAAGATACCAGGTCATTATTCCTGAGGGAGCTGTCTCTGATATCAGCGGCAACGCTGGGCCCACCGAAAACTACACTTTCACGTTGGTTCACGGCAGCCTGCAGGCGGGCACACCCGTGTTGAGAGTCGCTGGCTTCTTGTCCACGGTGTGCGACGTCGGCTTCGCGGACGCCTTGGGTAGGGTGTCTGCCTCTATGGGCGGCCGCACCGACTCAGTGGAGCTGGAGATCGACGACCTCGGGAGGCTTTGGACAATGCTGGTTGACGCCAGCATGCTCACGGCTGGGATCTACTACCGAGTCTGTGTCGACCTCGACGGGTCGTCCGCGGAGCTGAGCTACGGTGATGCGGGGCTCCAGGTCCTCGTGACGGGGGTGTCCAAGGCACCCTACACTATTCGGAACTTCGCCGACCAGGTGCTCGCCATCGAGTGCGCCAGCGGCTGCTCCACCGCCTCCCTTGGCTACCTGGGCATCGACTGCGAGAGCTCGGTGCGCGACGGTGCCCTCCAGGGCCGGCCGCCCCACAACTCCCCGCCGGCCCACCTGGCGCAGGTCGGCGGCACCGCCTGGGCCCTGCCCGTGAACGCCACCGACTTCGCGCTCGGCGCGCGGTGCCTGGCTCGCAGAGGGGAAACAAACATCGGGAGCCTTGAGACGGGGGTCAACGCGGACGGGGGTCAGCCAGGGCGCCAGATCCTGCAGGATCCTGCGAAGACCCCCTCTGGCTGACCCGGGTTGGCGAGCCGCTCGTGGCCGCGAGGCGGCCGCGCATATTGGCTGACCCGGGTTTGCGAAGGCTTGCGTTGCAGTTTTTGGGTTCCTGCATTGCAGTTTTTGGTTTCTTGCTGACCCGGGTCTGGATTGACCCGGGTCAGAAGAGCCCCGAAAAAAAGTACCCCTACCTATACCCTTCCCTCGCTTTCTCCCCTTCTGGGGGCCTCCCGGGCGGCCCCTGGCCGGCTTCGGCTCGAGGCACTGGGCAGCGCGCACCCCGAGAAGGCGGCCCGGGGGAGACGCGCGGCAGCATCTCGGCATGCCCGTTGGCTTCCCCCCAGGTACCGGCTCTGCCTGGACGTGGACGGGACCGCCGACGCCACGGGGTGCTCAGGAGGGAAACAAAAAACACGCAGACACAACGAACCGTCGAGTCCCAGGAAAATGTGGGAAAGTATGAGCAGTGGGGGGGGGACGACAACACCCGAGAACATATGGTAAACTATTGGGAACACTTATTTGTGCGTATTTATTTGTGTGTCTCAGGGCCCCTTCAGGTTCGCCGACACGGGCCTCACCGTCTTCAGCACCTTTGTCACCGAGGGCGACCCCTTCGGCCAGGCCGTCGGCCGCGCCGCCTACCAGGATTAAGTCGGGCCTGTCCCCCTGCAGGGGGATTTCCGACGAGTAATAAAAGATACCCCAAACATTGCCAAAAAATAGTCCAACAATAGTCTGGGGATTATTTTCTGAATATGTTTTTCCCTGCCTAGGCTCTGCCTAGAAGGGTTCTTACTCTGAAGCTTAAAGGGGCCGGGCAGTGCTACACGCCCCGGGCGGTTCCCCCAGTCCCCGCCCCGCGGTTCCCCCAGTCCCCTGGGAGCTTTAGCCTTAGCTTTAGCTTTAGTTTAGCTTTAGCTTTAGCTTTAGCTTTAGCTTTAGCGTTATCTTTAGCTTATCTTTAGCTTAGCTTTAGCTTAGTGTTAGCTTAGCTTTAGCTTAGCTTTAGCTTAGCTTCAGCTTAGCTTTAGCTTAGCTTTAGCTTAGCTTTAGCTTAGCTTTAGCTCTAGCTTAGATTTAGCTTAGCTTCAGCGTAGTGTTAGCTTAGCTTTAGCTTAGTGTTAGCTTAGCTTCAGCTTAGTGTTAGCTTAGCTGTTGCTTAGCTTTAGCTTAGCTTCAGCTTAGTGTTAGCTTAGCTTTAGCTTAGCTTTAGCTTAGCTTTCGCTTAGCTTCAGTTTGGCTTCAGCTTAGCTTTGGCTTAGCTTTAACTTAGCTTCAGCTTAACTTTAGCTTAGCTTCAGCTTAGCTTCAGCTTAGCCTTAGCTTAGCTTCAGCTTAGCTTTAGCTTAGCTTCAGCTGAGCTTTAGCTTAGCTTTAGCTTAGCTTTAGCTTAGTGTTAGCTGAGCCTTAGCTTTAGATTCAGCTTAGCTTTAGCTTAGCCTTAGTTTAGCTTTAGCTTAGCTTTAGCTTAGCTTCAGCTGAGCTTTAGCTCAGCTTTAGCTTAGCTTTAGCTTAGTGTTAGCTTTAGCTTAGCTTCAGCTTAGATTTAGCTTAGCTGTAGCTTAGCTGTAGCTTAGTTTTAGCTTAGCTTTAGCTTAGCTTCAGCTTAGTGTTAGCTTAGCTTTAGCTTAGCTTTATCTTAGCTTTAGCTTAGCTTTAGCTTAGCTTCAGCTTAGCTTTAGCTTAGCTTTAGCTTAGTGTTAGCTTAGCTTAGCTTAGCTTAGCTTTAGCTTAGCTTTAGCTTAGCTTTAGCTTTAGCTTAGCTTTAGCTTAGCTTTAGCTTAGCTTTAGCTTTTTACTACTAATGCTGCTTTCCTAGGGGCTCCAACTCCTAGGTAGGGTCGCACTGGGATAATTATCTGTTTGGGGGTATGTTTGGGGTATTTGTTATTTGTTGTCGAAAATCCCCCTGTAGGGGGACACGCCCGACTTGATGCCAGGAGGTCCGGCTCCGGTGCGTGTCGGGGTACTGCTCGGAGGACTCGGTGGCGCACCTGGCGGCCGAGGAGTGCGCCTCCGCGGCGACGGAGGCCGCGCCCCTGGAGCTGTCCCTGGACGCGCAGGACGCGCACTCCAGCCGGGAGACCTGGAGCTTCCGGGTGAACGCCTCCGGCCTCTCGCGCGGCCTCCTCCTGCTCCTCCTCCTGCTCCTCCTCCTGCTCCTCCTCCTGCTCCTCCTCCTGCTCCTCCTCCTGCTCCTCCTCCTCCTCCTCCCTCTCCTCCTCCTCCTCCTCCTCCTCCTCCTCCTCCTCCTCCTCCTCCTCCTCCTCCTCCTCCTCCTCCTCCTCCTCCTCCTCCTCCTTCCGGGTGAACGCCTCGGGCCTCTCGCGCGGCCTCTCCTACCACGTCTGCCTTGACCCCGACGGCCCCGGCCTGCCCGAGCCCGCGGCGCACACCGGCGTGGCGGTCTTCGTGAGCCCCTTCGCGGCGGCGGGCGCGCCCAGCGCGGGCGCCGCGGCGGGCGTGCAGGGGCGCGTGCCGCGGGGCGCGGCCGTGCGCCCCGCGGGGCAGTTTCGCCTGACGCTCGCGTGCGACACGGGCGAGGGGGCCCCGGAGCTCGACCTGGGCAGGCCTCGGCGGAGGGGGGGCGGAGGGGGCGGCAGCGCTCCCAGACCCCCTCGAGCAACGAAGAAGTCACGACGGGCGGTTTTTCGCCATCTTCGGCCTCTGGGGGCCCTTGCCGGGCGTCGGGACGGTCAAAAAACGACTCAGGATGAAGAGCCGGTCCCGGGGAATAGGTCGACTCCTCTGAGGGTCGACGTCATGAAGAAATCATGACGTCGGGGGTCGTGGCTGCAGGGCGGCCACATCGGGGGCGCCCCCCCCCTTGTCGCCGCGGCTGGGCGCAGGGCTCGGAGAGCTCGCGGCGAGCCCTGGCCGGGGTGGCCGCTGGTGCGGGCCCACCGGGGTCCCCCGATCGCCGAGCGCGCTGCGACGGCAGCGCCGTGCGCGCCTGCGTCTCGTCCTCCCGCGGCCCCCCGAGAGCCGCGCTGCAGAGGCCGCTCGTCATGCCCATGGGGCCACTCGTGCGTGCAACCGAGGAGTCGGCGCGTTGGGACTCTTGGGGGCCAAATCTGGAGCTGCCGGTGTCCCGGCTCGCCCTGCTCCCCGGCAGGTCGAGGCCCGCCCCCGGCCACCACGTCCTCCCGGGCGAGAGCGTCGTGCTGGCCTTCGACGTCGACGTGTTTGCGGGGGTGGGGCTGTTCGAGCTGTGGAGGGCGCACGCCAACGGCACGTCGGCGCTGGTGCTCGAGGTGGACGTGGCCACCCTGAGCACTGTGGGCAACGAGAGTGGCAGCCTCATCCGCGGCGGCAGCGTGGCCTTCACCCCAGAGGTCAGGGGTAGCGCTAGGGTTTAGCCGGGCATGCCCCACTACAGGAGGAAGATTCAAACATCTTCTAAACATAGCCTGGGAACGACTTATCTAAGATTTTCTTTGAAACAATGTTTCATAATGTTCGACTATGCTGTATGTGTTCTTCAAAATCCGCCTGTAGGAGGACACGCCCGACCTAACGTTAGGGGGGATAGGCTCATAGGGTTAAATTGGGCATGCCCCTCTACAGGAGGAATATTCGAAAAGATTCAAATCATCCTCTGTGGACGATTTGCCATGTTTTCGATTCTCCGTAAGGCCTTTGCCCCCTGCCGCTGGCCCCCTCTTTATCATGATGGGATATAGTAGAGTCGCGCCGGTGCGTCTTGGCGCTGCCCTGGCGCATCTGGGGATAGCATGCGGGGGCGGATAGGAGTCATCAGCACACATTGAAACGTTGGCGTTATCGAAGACGCCTACGGCGAGTCACCGCCGCCCCCTGCCCTTTCGGAAGCGCCTAGGTGGCCGAACGTTGAGGCCAGAGCCGTGCCAAGCTATCGGACCATGTGTTCCCCGAATCGGTTTGGAAAGCCTTCGGGGAACACGTGGGAGAGGACCGGGAAGAGGAGAAAAGTGAGGAATGGGCGTGTTCGGGGCCACTTGGGGGCTCTTGTGAGCCTTTGGAGGCGTCTTGGGGCCTGCTGGCTGAAGGTTGGGTCAGATCCTTGCCAATCTTTCGGAACGAGTGTTCATCGAATCGTTTTGGAAAGCTTTCGGGGAGCACAAGGAGGTTGGGGAAGAGGAGGAGAGTGAGGAAAAAGGGGGCCCTTGCGGGCCTTCCCGGAGGACGTCTTGGAGGGCTCTTGTGCTGCCTGGGAGGCCTCTTGCGGGCCTTTTGGGCAGTGTAAGGCCATCTTGAGGCCATCTGGGGCCGACTTGGTCGCTGTCTCGGAGGCCTTCGTGGCCGTCTTGGAGGCACCTTGTAGGCCATCTTGGCAGTCTTGGAGGCCATCTTCGGCGTCTTCGGGGCCATCTTGAGCCGTCTTGAGCTCTTCTTGTCTTGGGGGCCTCTTGGGCTGTCATGGGGCCGTCTTGGAGGCCTCCTGGGCGCTCTTGGGACGATGTTGGGCGCCTCTTGGGCCGTCTTGGCCCGTCGGAGAGTTGATAAGAAGAACATGCCAACATCCTTCAAGCACCTCAGGGAAATAACTGATGTTTGCCCTTTCGGGCCTTCCTGGAGGACGCCTTGGAGGCCTCTTGGGGGCCTCTTGGCCAGTCGTAGGCCATCTTGGAGCCATCTTGGGCCGTCTTGGAGGCTTCTTGGACAAACTTGAAGGCATCTTGGACTCTCTCGGGCCGTCTTGGAAGCCATCTTGGACCATCTTTGGCGACTTGGAGGCCATCTTGGGCCATCTTGGAGGCCATCTTGGGCCAACATGACCATCTTAGAGGCCATCTTGAGCCGTCTTGGAGAATGGTTTGCGGTCGTGGAGGCGGTTTGGGGGCTTCTCCAGGACCCTGGCGGGGTCGGCCGAAGCCCCAGGGAGAGTTCTCTGGGAAAAGAGCCAAAACCAATATCGAAAGGATCCAGCACAGCACGCTGGGCACCCCATGTGGCAAGCCAGCAGGGGGCGGCCGGTTCCCGCCACCGTGCCCTGGTTGTGGGTCTGAGTCGGGGGCCTCTTGGAGGCGGCTTGGGCGCCTCTTGGGGGGCCTCTTAGGGGGCCCGTGGGGTATCTTTCGTAGGCCTCTTGGAGGCCTCCTGGGCGCGTTCGGGGCGCCTCTCGGGGCCTCTTGTGGGAGATCGTGGCCTCGGGGGCGCGAACGTGGCGCAATCGACGAGGGATCGTGGCTTCGGGGGCGCGAAGCGTCATTTACGCAGGATCGTGGCCTCGGGGGCGCGAATGTGGTGTAATCTGCAGGAGATCGTGGCCTCGGGCGCAAATGAGGCGTAATTTACAAAGGATCGCAGCCTCGGGGGCGCGACTGTTGTTAATTCATTGGGGATCGTGGCCCCAGATGCGAGAATGCGGCGTAATGTAGGAGTGATTGTGGCCTCAGGAGCTTGAATATGGTGTATGTTATGAGGTATCGTGGCTTCGGGGACGCGGACACAGCGTAATTTGCTCGGCATCTTGGCTTCGGGGGCGCGAATACAGCGTAATCTACAAGGGATTATTGCGTCGGGAGCGCGAATCTCGCGTACGTTGATCACGCCCTCCAGAAATTCAGAGCACACGATTCGGGCGTGGTCATCAGGGTCCTTTACGGCCCCCCCCCCCTCGCGCGGACAGGAACAATTTACAGTAGGAAGCAGAAAGCTGCAACATGGGAACCTGGACCTGGCGCAGGCAGGGGGCAGCGAAGCTTCTCCTCGCAGCCTGATGGCACCGCAGGGGGGCCGGCGGCTGTTTGAGCATCGGCTGGTTCCCTTGCATGTCTCCCGCAAAGTCCTCCCGCAGGAGGACACGCCCAACCCAATCACTGACGAGCGAACAACACACACCCATACCCATAGGGAGGTCGTTGGGAGGAGGACCGGCTGTGGGATGCGGGTGGTCGGACCTTGGGGAACGCTCCCGTTCGAGCGGGGACCCCCATTCTGCACGAACGAGATGGGCACCGAAAGAATGGGTACGATGCCCAACAGCGGATCTTGTTCGTTTTGGACAGGACTCGCTGTCCGCGCCGCCGCGGCCTGTGTCCATTCGAGACAGAGGGCCGCCTGCCCAACAGCGGCCGCTGTTGGTTTGGAACAACATTTGCTGTTGGGCATAGTACCCATTATTTCCGTACCCATTTCGGGCGTCCAAACCCATCCGACAACACGCACCCATAGCCCTCTCCGATCCCCCCTATGGGTATGGGTGTGTTGTAGCTGGTTCGCCAAGTCCCTGGGGGGCATGCCCCTCGACCCCCTGCCGCCCAGGGATGGCCGAGGGGGGGGGCTCCACGGCGCGCCCCCCCGCCCACGGATGGCCCCGCGGGGGGCTGCCGTTTGAGGCGGGGGGGGGGGGGGCAGTCGCCGAGAGCTGTCGGCGGGGCATCGCCGATGGCAGGCCGATGCCTCTCCCTCCCCTGGGGCCCAGAGCTCCCTTGCCAGCCTCGCGAGTATCCCTATCCCTATCCCTAAGAGATTGGCACGCCAGACGGCGATGACAATCCTGGGGATCCGCCCTCAAAAAAGGAGGGGACCCCGAAGACTGGCATCGTGATGAGGAGGTGCCCAGCATAGGGATAGGGAGATGTTCCAGGCTGGTAACTCCCCCCCTGCAGCGGGGGCGCGCCTCAAGAGACCGTCCGCGCTTCGTCACGGTGCACGGGGGGTCCTGCGCTCCGCGCGCCGCGCGGCGGCTTCCCGCGGCCGCGGAAGGAGCTGCCGCGTCCGGGCTGGCCTCGTTTTCGCCCCCCACCCCCGTCGCACCTCTCGTGCGGGCCTGTCACCGAGAGCTATCGGCGAGGCATCGCCGATGGCAGGTCGATGCATTCCTCCCCTGGGCCAGATCCCTCCAGGCTTAAGTCGGGCCTGTCCCTCTACAGGGGGAATGTTCAAAAATAGTCAAAAAGTACTCTGGGGACGATATTAACTCTTAGTTTGACGATGCTTGAGTATGGTTTGACTTTGTTATCTTCCTCCAAAACGCGCCTGTAGGAGGACATGCCCGACCGAACTCTAGGCCTCCTAAGTAGATGGGGTCGGAGTAGATGGGGTCAGAGGATCGCGCCGCACCGCCTATACCTCGCCGAGGGGGCTCGATGCGGAGCCCGATTTACTTCACGCCGACGTCGCCGATGCATCGCCGACGTCGCCGATGCATCGTCGATGTACAGTCGATGTATAGGTGATGCATCGGCAATGCGGCGCGATCCTTCGACCCC